AAACTATGGAAACTACAAAAAAAAAATCTGATTGAACGCCATCTGGCAATAACTAGTAGCAACTTCTTAACCTAAAAATTAATTGCACTACCACCTAGCGCCCGAGGCTGGAACTATTTTATTTGAAATTTCCATGGAAACGGTGGAACCGCTTTTGCTATTTCACTTTCCGGCCCCTGTTATCACCCCTCAAGAAAAACTTTGGTTAGAAATCAAAAGTTTATTGTTTTAAAGGTTTTATAAGCTAAATATTATGCGTCCTCTATGGATACAACAGACCACCGCAAGCTGTTGCTAGGATATTTTATTAATTTTAATTGTGTTTTTTAGACATTGTGAATGATCGTAAACCATAGATAAATGCAACAAGTTTAGATTGGAAAGCCCGTATAAATTTTGGATCGCGAAATTATTTTGGGTCGCGACCGTTATACGCGATCTGGCGCTGCTATAGCGGTCGCTAAGAGCAACGGCAAACAAAAACAGAAATAATTTTCTCTTGTCATAGTCAGAATCTTCAAAAATCATAATAATCTTTCAAAATCTAAACCGCTCTCATTAAAGAAATCTCGAAAAAAATGTTTATAGCGTCCATTTTCAAAGTAATTATTGCTATCTTGTGAGTTTAATTCAAGTTTTATTTACTCCAACCGGTGATAATTGTGAAAAAGTGGCATTAAAAACTTAAAAAGCTGTGCTGTGAACTGTGAACTGCAAAAACCATCGTGGATCGTGGCATAACGTCGGTTTCCAATGTTTCATAGGTATTTCATACATGCGTCCTTACATAAAATAAAGTTTTTTGTATGCAACAGACTGTATTTTATTTATAAAATTAAACGAAAATAATAATAAATTTGAATAAACAATATTTGGCAATATAATTCCGGAAAAAGCCGAACCGCTCCGAAATTTTCAAAAGTTTTGGGTCGCGACCATAGACAAACAAATAAAAAGAGACTGACAAATCTCATGGTAAAGAGTGGGACCGCGTTCCCGTAGCGCAACTCCGAATAACAATTTTGAAACCAATTAGCAGGACCATGGCAGGACGTACGTCTTTATTGCTATATTTCTTTATTATGTGTGCTTTATATGAAAAAGAAAGAGATAGGTATAAAACGTATTGTAAGACATTATCGCACATTCTGGCTGGCGGAAAATTTAAATTAGCCTTTATTAGTAGTATTCTTTCATTCTGAAACTGAAAATGTTCACTTTATTCCCTATACCACGTAAAGGGAACGTGGTGTAGGGAATAAATCAGTTTAAGTGAAAATTTGCAATTTCTTTCAGAACGAAAGAATACTACTATTATAAGAGAAATTATAAAAAAAGCAAAAATTGTACTGTTTTATGAACATATTTATTTATACATAAAAATAAATAAACTTTTTATAATATAATAACAAAAAATAACAGTGTTTATTCCACCCACCTACCTTTTACCTACATTTTAAATGCAGAAGAGCTGACTGTTGCAGGAAACGATCGGCCAATTTTTTTAAATTGCATTAAAAATCTCATTTTCGAAAAAACTGCCTAATTGCAGTAACAAAGTGAATATCCAAGCAAAGAAGACTTTACGAGAATCATGATCCTGAACCATTTTCAAGTCCAGTTTTAATCCTAAAACAAAAGTAAAATAGGTATATTAATAAAATTTCTGGTTACTATAAACCAGCTATAAACTACCTACCCAAAAAATGAAAAAAATTAATTGTATTAATTTGTTATGTTAAGAGAGGTTCGAAATATTTTTGACACTACTACTTCTACCTTTTTCTTAATAAGATGATAAAATATAACTACTTACTTTTATTTTACCGGGTGTCTTTAACATATCCATCAGAGAAAAGGGACACCAATACATAAAAAAAATAGATGATACTGGCTCCTGCAGCAAATAAAGTAACAAATAGTATAACCGAAAATTATAAGTAACAAAATGTAAATACCTATATGGAACAAAGGAATTTGTTCCCTATCCATATTCATAAGTTTAATAAAATGGAGAGTTTAGAAAAAAAGGTAAATCACTAAAAGAAAAATTAACAAACATGACGAATTGTCATGATGTTGTCATCTTGGTTGTCATGATGACGAAAACGAAAGGCGATTGTTCTAATTTCTATTTAGAAATTACGTTTTATATGGTTGCTTCTTTCTCTCTTGTTATATTAGAATGACATAGTGGGCCCAATAGACGTAATGCGCAGATCAACATAAATAGAACGAAATTTTGCGTTCTGAGTTGCGCTACGGGAACGTTGTCCCTCTCTTTGCCATTTAATTTGCCAGTCTCTTTTTATTTGTTTGTCTATGGTCGCGACCGTTGCAAGAATAGCGCCAAATAGTGTTTACATTGTCCTCAATTGTCCTTATGGGCACTTTCCAATCTAAACTTGTTTCATTTATCTATGTCGTAAACTAAAAAGTATAAAGTGTAATTGAAACCACTAATTTATTCCACTAATTGGGAGGTTCTGAACGAAGCTTAATAAAAGTTAAAAGTTTAATAACTTTTTCTAATAATTGAAAATTACTATCACTAATTTTGACATACTAAAACTAAATGCTAAAATTAAAGGAACTTTTACGCTAACTGAAACCACTAATTTATTCCACTAATTTCGAGGTTCTGTATGAAGTTTTAAGTCTTAAAAATACTGGTGAATAGTTTATAAAACAAACATTCGATTTCGTTCCTGAATATCGATTAAATGTAATAATTCAAGTAGCGAGATTACTAAAGTATACGAAGTCGAGATAGAGCGGTGATCTATAATTCAACAACTCCCATGACGGAAAATCGAATATAGAAAACAAATTGGCCACGAATATGTTTAATATGTTCCGCTTTATTTTGTTTTGGGTCGTGAGGAGGTTCTATTTAAAAATAGTAATAAATTGTCGTCGATGTCTTCCCGAAAACAACTGTGCGGACGTCTGGAATAAATTGGATTCTAGAGGCACCTTTGAATTATAAAACTTCGGTGATGTAATTTTAACAGCGCCAGAAATAAAAGTCTCATATTCGAGCTTTCGAAACCGTATACCTACGATGAGAAAATAAAAACGATCGTCGATTGAAGTGGTTCCTTTTTAGAAGTTTCTCTAGATTTGGGATACATTATGGAAAAATTTGTTTTCTACCGTAGGGTTTAACCTAATGTAAATTCATGTTCTATCTACTAACTAACTATAAATGTTCTAAGAATATTCGACTCTAACATATATTTTTAATTTATTGAAAATAATTAAAAATTACCTTTCCAAAAATATAGCACACTTGATATTTTCCTCGATTCCTCTTCGAAATATAGTGTTTATAAAAATTCGCCCACTTTAAATAAGTAGGCTATGAACGGCGCCGGCTGTAATGCAAAAAAATCTAGCTGTGAGCATCAATTAAAACGAAAATAATATTTGCTATGAGAGATGCAGAATATTATAACAATTTAAACTATATTTAACCAACATCACATTTGAACTATATCTAATAACAATAAAAATTAATAGCAAACGAAGACATGAGATTTTGCTACAGCTGTTCGACATATCGACTGTCTTCTGTTATGGACAGACGGGGCCGTTTTTAAACATTTCTTGCGGAATTCATTAACTCAGTGGGGGTGAAAGATACACTCTCATAACTTCTAAGTATTTCTAATTTTTGTCTAGATTATACGGGCAATTTAAAAATAAGAACCTTTATTCTTCCGCAAAGATATCCATAGATTAGATCCATAGGCACAAAGTCCGGTGGCCTCGACGGCCAACGGCTGGGATCTTGGTTAGCTAATCAGTTATTCTTGAAATTGGCTGCAAAAATTTGCTCATAACTTCAGCGTTCTGAGGAGGTGCCTCGTCTTGCTGGAAAAATATGTTTTCGAGTTCCATTAGAGGCATATCATTAATAAGGGGTACAAAGCCTACTAGTTAAAAGTGGCGACCTTTAAAAAATTCGTATGTATTTCGAAGAGGATTATAAGAAAATATCAAGTGTCCTATATTTTTGGAAAGGCAATTTTAAGTTCTTTCCAGTTAATTAAAAATACACAGGGTGTCCCAAATAAAAAATCATTTTTTCTGTTGATAACTTGATTAAATTATTAATTTGAAAAAAACTATACTTAAACCAATAAATTCTACGTAAAAAGGTGCTTTGGAAATGTTTTCATAAAAATACAAAATTTTCCATAGCAAAAAAGTTACCGCGATTTGTTTAAAATGCACATTTTTGAAAAACACCCCATAACTCCAAAACGGTAACAGATATCGTATTGATAATTTCGATTCCAAGTATCTTGAAAACTATTACTCTTAGCGATTTTTACCAAGACACCTTTTTTATGTAAAAAACGCCGTAAATGTATATTTTTTTACTTGGTAGTTTTATACAGGTAAGGACGAGAAGTTATTACTCTTCAAACCAGTTAAAAATATGTAGGTGGCGCCCTCTACTAGTAGGAGTCATATTGACATCAAAATCAAATTTTTCATGGCCGGATTTTTATCCAAATATTGACGTTACTTCAGAAATAATTTGGAAAAAATCGAAATAAAAATGAAACTTCTACACCCTGTATCTCCGCCAAGCATTTTAAGATATACATTTATACGAACTTTTTTACTTCTTTTTATCTGCAGAATATGCTGCCGAAGTTTCCGGAATACAGTTCGGATCACCCTGTATATGTGTTTTTTACAGTTTTTTTGCATGAACACGTTTTTGAATTTAGTAATTCACAATTTAATTTTTTAGTTTCTATGAAGTATTCGTATATTTCATGTGCCATATTATTTTTTTTAAATTAAATAAAAAAAAAATTTAATTTTAACACTGAGACAGAAATACTAATAATTTCAATTTATGGACATGGACACTATATGTATAAGAGATTGGATCTTGACACATTTATTTTTATAGGGCACTAAAATTTAGAAAAACTTCGGACGGCAGTTTTATACTAACACCCATTTTATTTTTATTACAGTTGGAGTGTTGTGGAATGAATGGTCCGGACGATTGGCAAAAGGTCAATCATAACAATTCCCTTCCCCACACTTGCTGTCCAAATGTTCACAATCACGGTGTCTGTGAAAAGACTACAGTTGGCGTGTACAAATCATCTTGCATTCAAAAGTTGAAGGAGATGTTTATGAACTATGCATCCGGTATTGGGGCTGTTGGATTGGGTGTTGCCGGATTTCAGGTAACTAGTAATTAAAATTACAGTACGGCACACCTCTTTAATTCGGACAATTAAGTACAATAGGTTTGTCCAAAGTCCAAATTAGAAAACTGTTCGGATTATTCACCAGTAGTCTAATAGTGGATAAATGCACTATACTTACACGGTGAGTTTTCTACGATATTCTCTATGGGTATCTCGGAAATTACTGGAGATAGAGAGTCGGTTGAATAGTGAAAGAATTGCAATTTTGTGGGGTCATAAATATCCTCTTTCAGATTTTTCAAAAAGTTCATGGCTTTCTAGATATTTCGGGAAAAAAAAAATTTTGGCAATTTTTAAAAATGGTCCCTAATAGAGGTGGGAATCCTAGTTCCTTAGTTCTAGTTCCTCTAGAGGAATAGTTCCTTGAACTAGGTCTTTAGTTCAGAATAGTTCCCGACTAACGTTGGCATCCCCGTTGCTTGCTAATGGGTTTCGTTGTCAGAACTATTCAGAATATGATCGGTATAATTTTTATAATGTACGAGATATAACGAGACGTGTAATTGGGTATGTTAAAAACATATAGGTAAGTTTTATTGCAGATAAAAAAAATAAAAAAGAAACTCAAATCAGAATTTAAAAAACTATATCACCAATCAATTGGAGCAAATATTACGAAAATTTTACGAAAAATTGCATTTTCTTTACTTCAAGTTTTTTGTTTTTGTCTAAAAATTCAGAACATCTACTTCGTTTTATAAGATATTTCTTAATTTTAGGAACCTAAAGTGAAACATTTCCATAAAATATTCAAAGAACAAACTAAAAATCAAAAACAGTATCCACGACAATTTTCTGTGGTAACCGGCTGTGGCAATAGACGAAGGCGAATCTATTGTCGTCGCTTTGTATTATATCTCGGGTCTGCCGACTGAATAGATTTTTAGTCTTTCAATTAGTTAATCTCAGTCCTTTCGGTCCGGGACAGGTAACATAGGGCTGGCACTCTCCACTCCCGCCTCGCATCGGGCTACGATCGCGCTGGCCTATCCGTACGTAAACTCGTCTTTTTTAGTTCCTCTAGGTCCGGATCCGATAACATACGGCTGGCACTCCCCATTCCTGCCTAGCATAGGACTACGATCGCGCTGGCCGATCCGTCGCCGTCGCATATTATATATCGGGCAGTCTCGATCCCGGAATAGGTCCTGAAGAACTAGTTCTTTAAGAAACCCATTCCGGGGTCGGAATAGTTTATTGGAACTAGTTCGTTCACGAACTACACACCTCTAACGTGTTTAGCTCCAGCCGTCGCGATTTCATCGGTCGCCAACAGTAGTATCAGAAACTGGTATGTCCGTAGCGCCGCGCGATCTCGATCGGGACGTGTTCGCTCCAGCCGTCGCGCTCCCTGTAGTTCCCTGTCGCGAACAGAAGTAACTGCTGTAACTGGGCATCGACGCTCGGCGGCGACCTACTTCGCTCCAGCCGTCGCGCTCCTAGAGTTTTAGTTCCCTGTCGCGAACAGAAGTAACTGGTCCCTGCTGTAACTGGCTATCGACGCTCGACCTCAGCGGCGCGGCGGCGACTTACTTCGTTCCAACAGTCGCTGGAGCGCTTCTAGGGTTCCGTTTTCGCTTGTTTGGTCGGTTACTATTGGCGTTGGTGCTCCCGTCGCTACGTTACTTTCGAAATAGCGATTTTTGGTATGTACTAGACATGGTATAAAATAGCGTTGTTAGAAAGATAAAACGTAAAAGCAAATAAAATAAAATAAAAATGTTATTTGCTTTTTTGTTTATATCTATTTTTAAGGTCTAATGATGGCTAGAATTGCCGAAACCGGTCACCAAAAAAGAATTTTTTTGACAGTAGTTTGTTCAACTTTGTTCTTGATTTTAACATTAAATATATTATGTTGCAAAAAAAATATGAATAAAGAAGAAAATATGATTGAAAAAAAAACGGAAACTTGTAAAACCACTCTCAATTGATTAAAAATAAAATCCTAATTAGAGTAATATAATCCCACAAGAAAGAGAATTACATTTTACTAACATATACGGGAATAATGTAAGAATGATTTTATGATTACCTGACATGAACATTAACATTTTACTTCTAAATTTTCCCACGAGTAAGAAATATATGTAGATAAAAACATACATCTAGATAAAAAAATTTAGCATATGTATTTATATATGATGGAATAATGATTCTAATTATGTCATTTTTTTATTGTTTAAGTTTTTAAAGCAAACATATTTTAAGAACAAAAGATAGAAAAATGTAATTATCTTACAAATGTGTTTTTTTTTCTTTAAATTGCAGCGGTTATAACGTGGATCAGAAGAATATAAATCTAAATTATTATTGGAAAGAATAAAAATTCTTCACTCTGAATAGATGGCGAATAAAAAGTATTGAATACCAATAAAAGTATGTACATATTTTAAGTCAATTCTATTCGTGCTTAAATAATAAAAACAACGTCAGTTTAGTGAATAGGGCATATTTTTTATTTTATTTAATAGTTTAATTTCTAAAATTGAAACCTAACGTATTGCCACTATAAATTCCTCTAGTCATCTTGTATTGTTTACAAATTTGTCTATGAAATTGTTTATGAATTTACACGGACACAGAGATAACGGCAAGGTTGGGAGTAGTTGCAGTTTGTGAAAAAAGGTGGTGGAAAAGTCAATAAATCTCAGCAAAATGTATTTTGAGGTCGTAGAATGTAGAAATGTGTGGGAGGGGGGTTAATCACAGCGACTTTACAGATCTATCATCCCCCCCCTTTCTTCCGTATCTGGGACGGTTTTATAGAGAGTAATTCTCCATCTCCAATATCAGTTGTATAGTAAACGCCACGAATGTTTGGGAGTGATTCATCGGTCGCTACCATGTGATCTAATCTGTTCAAGGTCACATAAAACTTAATTCCAGTGCCGTGGTCTTTCAAGTCATATAATAATCAATATATAATCTGTTGTAATTTGTTGTTTTAACTGTCAAAGTCTTGTTAAAACCTTTGAATAAGAAGACTAAGGAAGGAGCATAATGCTATCCATGTATTCATGCATGGTGGGCGGAAAAGCCACCATAAAAGCTCTCTAGGGTGGGGATCCTTGACAGTTCTGTTTGACGATTCATTTGACACATTTGAATTTGATTTGAAATTTTGTGGATTTGTCAGTCTTTACGGAGCTTATTTTATGTTATTTATTATTTATTCTACTACTGATAGTTGTATAAAGGTAGTAAATCTAGATGGAAATTGTGGCAGAACTTAAATTAACAGTGACACTATCGCGATTTATCGAAAAAGACTCTAAAATAGTTGGTTGTGTAGCATGCGGTAGATCTCGGCAAAAATTGAGTGAAATAATGGAACAACTTTTCGCTAGTAAGTGACTATATAATATACATACGTGTAGTAAACCGATCATTTATGAAATTCACTTAAATTAACTAAATTATATATTTTTCTTGCATTTTAGCTTTTATTTATTACTTGTCAAAGATTAGATGTCAAAGAATTTAGATACGTTAATTTGACTTACCTGCTTCAGTAGCGTATCGGATGTTTGTGTTAATAAATACTTATTATAACTTATCTATTTTTATTAGAATTATATATTTTTATAACAATTTTAATAACTACCAACATTTATTCACAACGTAAAATAAAACAACAAGTTATTGAGTCTACCCCACGTCTACCCTACATCATAGTTTTACATTTTTTAAATAAAATTAGAACGACACTGATAAACCGGAATTTAAGTCGGCCATATTTGAGACCCATCGCGGTGTACCTAAGATTTTTGATATGCTCCTTCCTTAGTCTTCTTATTCAAAGGTCGCTACCATGTGATCTAATCTGTTCAAGGTCACATAAAACTTAATTCCAGTGCCGTGGTCTTTCAAGTCATATAATAATCAATATATAATCTGTTGTAATTTGTTGTTTTAACTGTCAAAGTCTTGTTAAAACATATATTTGGTTATAAATATAAAATGGAATGCCCCATTGGTCGCACTGCAAGCACACCAGTGGACTGATGCACAAAAACGAATCAATCAAAGGAACGCGATATAGTATCGTCTTTGTCAATCACGCTAACATTTTAGAATAAGTAGGAGGAGCGCAGGTAGATGATTAGACCGGGCCTTTAAAAACCTACGTCTGCGGTAAAAATTTACGTTTTTAATGTAAAAATGATAGCGCGAGTGTCGATTCTAACTTGATCAAGCGATGAATCACTCCCAAACATTCGTGGCGTTTACTCTACCTAAGTTCATGGCAGGAATGGTTGTAACAGCTGGTACAATTGTAAGAACCTGACAACACTGGTTGGGAGTAGGTAACTAATGCCAGAAATACTGCATAAGCGAGTACCGCGACACTGTGAACGTCGGTACCTCGATTACAAAATAGCGTTATTTTGTCGCGGTATTTTTCTGGAACGGTCGCTACTGTAACGCGACTCATGTGGAACCGGTATTCCCATCACTAGAATCTTGTAATGTCCGGAGTAAAGAGGTTGAACTGTATTGAGCTACAATAGTCAACATTTTCAAGTTAATTTATATGGAACATTATTGCAATTAAAGTGACTTTATCTAATTTATTTTTTTTAGTTGTTTGGAATTATTTTCGCCTGTGCGTTGGCTCGGCACATTCGCAAGGAATATGAAACAGTTTAAGCAGTATCCAAAGGCACAATATTGTAGCTTAGTAACATTGTCACATCCACGGTACCTCTTGTTATATTTTGCATACTTTTCTTTGTTGTTACGAAACGTAGTAGTATTATTTATATTTGTTTATTATTTATTTTAAATAACTATTTTGGTTGTGAAATAAGTTTAAAATAAGTATTTGTTTTGATTATAGTTGAAAGGAATCTCTCTGTTTATTATAGGAATATGTCTTTGTTTTATTGTCTAAGTTTTTTGATACACTTTTTACAACTTATATAAAAAATAAGTTTATGATATTTTTACACAGAATATTTTTAAGATTAAAATATTACAAATTATGTCTCAACTGTTCTCGAATTCTTGCATGTGTTCACTTTCACAGACTGATTTGTTACACTTTGTCACATTTGTAGTTTATTACCAATAGTTTATATTACTGTAATATTTTACTTCGAATACATATGTAAAAATATTTCAAAACTTCATACCTACTAGTGCCCAGATGTTTAAAACAATTATTTTTATTGATCTCTGTTAAAATATATTTTTACATATTTTATTAAATTTAATAATTAATCTTCATAATAACACAATAATAAATCAAAAATAACAATTTATGCATTGCACTAGTAAATAGGAAATTTTGATATAAAATAGTGTGTACGCCAATTTGAGCATTATTTTGATATAATATGTATACTTCTAATAATTCGAATACCTATTTAAATATTTTTATATGAAAACGGATCTACTTTGTTGGAAAAATGCTCAAATACATTTTCTATGAACGAAGTATTTTCTCGTTGTTCATTGTTTATTAGATCAATGTCATTATATACTATAGATCAATGTATTTTAGTCTAGATTTGAACTGAAATTGGTTTTGCCAAAATTGTACCAAAAATTATTTGAACATTATTTAAAATGTGTAAAATTAGTCTTAAGAAAATTTATTCTCGTATTTTTACTTTACACAAAGTATTTAATGTTACAATATATGTATGTATTAAATCTTTAAAATCTATATAACCTAATAAATATAAATGAGTGGAGAATGTATATTTTTTCTAGATTGCAGTAATGATCTCTAATTACAGGATCTTTTCTGCTTTAAGGAGTTAATATACAGGGTGGTCCGAACTGTATTCCGGAAAATTCGGCAGCATATTCTGCAGATAAAAATAATTAAAAAATTAGTATAAATGTATGTCCTAAAATGCTTAGTTTCGGAGATACAGGGTGTAGAAGTTGCATTTTTATTTTAATTTTTTTCAAATAATTTCTGAAGTAACGTCAATATTTTGATGAAAATTGGCGTCTGGTACTTTTTTGGCATGAGAAATTTGATTTTGATGTCAATATGACTCCTACTTTTAGAAGGAGCCACCAACATATTTGTTAACTGGTTTGAAGAGTAATAACTTTTCGTCCGTACCTGTATAAAACTACTGAGTAAAAAATATGCATTTACGACGTTTTTTACGCGAAAAAGGTCTCTTGGTAAAAATCGCTACGAGTAATGGTTTTCGAGATATTTGGAATCGAAATTATCAATACCTGTCATCATTGACATAAATTAAACATGTTAACTAAATAGTTGTTAGACTGAAATCATAAATTTGAAACGTTTTTGTGCCAAAAGTTCAATAGAAACTGTTTTATCATCATTTTTTGCAGAAAAATTTATCATTAATTAAAAAAAATAAAAATTTCCCAAATTTATTATTTCAGTGAATTAACTATCTACTGTACATCTGCTGGATCTGTGTCTATGAAAGGAATGCGGACAAAAACATTTAAATAAACAGCAATATATTTTATACGTCGATTTGACGAGTGCATCACCGCAAATCGCTCCGCCCACTCATTTTATTGGCTACTTGCAAATTTGTTGAATTTTTATTGATGGAACGCGTCGTCTATTTTTTACGAAAAACATCGAGAGAATATCGTTTCCCCTCTCACGGATACCCCGTAGCCACAGAACGGACAGACGTACTTGTACTCAACGTGTTTATTTTTCGTCAATAATGACATGTATTGACTATTTCCATTCTAAATATCTTGAGAACGGTTGCTCGTAGCGATTTTTACAAAGAGATATTTTTTGCGTGAAAAATCACGAGATGTATATTTTTTCCTCGGTAGGTAGTTTTGTACAGGTACGGACAAAAGTTATTACGCTTCAAAACAGACAAAACACATGTAGGTGGCGCCCTCTATTAGTAGGAGTCATATTGACATCAAAATAAAATTTCTCATGTCAAAAACTCCCAGACACCAATTTTCATCCAAATATTGACGTTACTTCAGAAATTATTTGGAAAAATAGAAATAAAAACTTCTACACTCTGTATCTCCGAAACTAAGCATTTTAGGACATATATTTATACGAACTTTTTTTCTTATTTTAATGTGTAGAATATGCTGCCGAAGTTTCCGGAATACAGTTCGGACCACCCTGTATAAGATCTACCCAATTATTTAAGAGCACACGCGGTGGATTTTCGTCGAGTGCCGCTAGACTTACCATCCGCCTGTGTTCCACGCCGCATCGACGAAAAGCCGCATCGTGTGTCCTCAGCCTTATGCTTCGGGTAAGGACGCAGAACCAGAGTAAGTAAACCGACGAGTAGCGACAGTCCGGTTTTCAATTTTCTTTGCGGCTGCGCGAAATAGATAGTCTGTCTGTCATATGAAGAAGCGAAGTTGTATCCTATGTTATAGGGCTTGTTTTTTCTCTGCAATTTCCTGTCTCACAATGTACCGTTTGTGTCGGGGAAGGGATCATAGTTTCATAGTTGTCGATTTTCGAAAGAAATCAGTACATGTATATTATTTCGTGTATTTTTCATTTTATTGATTTTATGGAAAGCACTGTTCATTAAAATGTTGTATCCTATGTTATAGGGCTTGTTTCTCTCTACAATTTCCTGTCTCACAATGTACCGTTTGTGTCGGGGAAGGGATCATAGTTTCATAGTTGTTGATTTTCGAAAGAAATCAGTACATGTATATTATTTCGTATATTTTTCATTTTATTGATTTTATAGAAATCACTGTTCATTAAAATGTTGTATCCTATGTTATAGGTCTTGTTTCTCCCTACAATTTCCTGTCTCACAATGTACCGTTTGTGTCGGGGAAGGGATCATAGTTTCATAGTTGTCGATTTTCGAAAGAAATCAGTACATGTATATTATTTCGTATATTTTTCATTTTATTGATTTTATGGAAAGCACTGTTCATTAAAATGTTGTATCCTATGTTATAGGTCTTGTTCCTCTCTACAATTTCCTGTCTCACAATGTACTGTTTGTTAGAGGTGGGAATTCTAGTTCCTTGGGAGGAACTAGTTCCTTAGTTCTAGTTCCTCCAGAGGAATAGTTCCTTGAACTAGGTCTTTAGTTCACAATAGTTCCCAACTAACATTGACATCCCCCTTGCTTGCTAATGCGTTTCGTTGTCAGTCAGAACTATTCACAGTATGATCTGTATAATTTTCATAATGTACGGAGATATAACGAGACGGGTAATTGTGTATGTTAAAAACATATAGGTAAGTTTTATAGCAGATAAAAAAATTAAAAAAAAAACTCAAATCAGATTTTTACGAAAAATTGCATTTTTCCTCACTTCAAGCTTTTTTGTCTAAAAATTCAGAATATCTACTTCGTTTTATAAGATATTTCTTAATTTTAGGGACCTAAAGTGAAACATTCCCATAACATATTTAATAAACAAACTAAAAATCAAAAACAGTATCCACGACAATTTTCTGTGGTAATTACGCCGCGCCGGCTGCGGCAATAGACAAGGCCGAATCCATCGTCGTCGCCTTGTATTATATCTCGGATCTGCCGACTGAATAGATTCCCGTGAACTAGTCTTTTAATAGTTCCTCTATGTCCGGATCCGATAACATACGGCTCGCACTCCCCACGCCTGCCTAGCATCAATCGCGCTGGCCGATCCATAGGTAAACTAGTCTTTTATTTAGTTCCTCTAGTTCCTTTAGGTCCGGATCCGATAACATACGGCATAAGGCCATATACGTATTACTTTTTACAAATATACTCAGGGTTCCCTATTTAACCCCGTGTGCAATTTCTGTGCCGTAAGAAAAAGACAACATAACCCAGCTCCATATTAAAACTGCATAAGTCTATTTCACCCGGATATGGATTGAACTGCGATTGCGCCAAACTCCGATTGATTGTTGTTTTAGTTCTGTTTGGATTACTTTTTATTTGTGCGCGTAAAAGAGTGATTTTGTTTAGTTTATTGTTTCCAACTATTTTTGATATTTTTCCAACTCCATGATGTGTTATAAATAATAAAAATATAAATAAAATTGAAGGTTAGGGGAAATGTCAGTCAACCACTTCCCTTTAAAAACATCGACCAATGAAAACTTCTTCAGGTGAGGCATGCTCAGTTAAATGAATATCCGGGTGAAATAGACTTGTGCAGAATTCCATACTGTTCTTTCACTGTTTGGGCTTCACTTTTTGGAGATTAGGCTGAGTATATTTGTAAAAAGTAATACGTATATGCATAAGGCTGGCACTCCCCACTCCTGCCTAGCATCGATCGCGCTTGCCCGATCGGTTCGTACGTAAACTAGTCTTTTATTTAGTTTAGTTCCTCTAGGTCCGGATCCGATAACGTACGTCTGGCACTTCCCACTCCTGCCTACCATCGGGCTACGCGCGCTAGCCGATCCGTCGCCGTCGCATATTATTCTATATCGGACAGTCTCGATCCCGGAATAGGTCCTGAGGAACTAGTCCTTTGAGAAGCCAGGAACTAGTTCCATTCATTCCGGGGTCGGAATAGTTCATTGGAACTAGTTCGTTCACGAACTACACACCTCTACTGTTTGTGTCGGGGAAGGAACCACAGTTTCATAGTTGTCGATTTTCGAAAGAAATCAGTACATGTATATTATTTCGTATATTTTTCATTTTATAGATTTTATGGAAAGCACTGTTCATTAAAATATTGTATCCTACGTTATAGGGCGTGTTTCTCTCTACAGTTTCCTGTCTCACAATGTACCGTTTGTGTCGGGGAAGGGATCATAGTTTCATAGTTGTAGATTTTCGAAAGAAATCAGTATACATATGTATATTATTTCGTATATTTTTCATACGTGGTAAATTTATATTTTTTTACTCGGTAGTTTTATACAGGTACGGACAAAATTTATTTCGCATCAACCCAATTAAAAATATGTAGGTGGCACCCTCTACAAGCAGGAGTCATATTGACATGAAAATCAAATTTCTCATGTCAAAAACTCCCAGACACCAATTTTCATCCAAATATTGACGTTACTTCAGAAATTATTTGGAAAAATCGACATAAAAATGAGACTTCTACACCCTGTATCTCGGAAACTTAGTATTTTAGGACGTACATTTATACGACCTTTTTACGTATTTTTATCTGCAGAATATGCTGCCAAAGTTTCCGGAATACAGTTCGGATCACCCTGTAGATAAATGCATATTTCACACTAATATAAATAGACTTTCATGAGGTACCAAATTTAGCGCTTACTTTGTTAGAATATCACAAAAACATCTAAAACTGTATAGTTTGCCAATTATAGTTTATAAAACATGACAACACGGAAATAAAACTACTCTTTGATTACATACTAAAATTTATTGTTACATTTATTAATTATAAACTAAACAGTACCTAGAAGAATAGTCCATATTCTCATATAATTTAGTAAAAAAAGTAATTTACACAAGCTGATAAACAGAAATATTCACGGCAACGTGTAGCTAATTTACAAATAAGCAATTACACGTTACTATAAACTTTTAAGTAGTTCTGCACAAGCAATTCTACAGAGATTAAATTGCACTATCTGCAGGACTATCTGCAAAAGAGGACATATTTCACAGAAATAACTTAAATAAAATTCAAACTTTTTAGCATTCGTGAAGTAGGTCAAGGAAAATACATTTTAGGCCACAATTTTAATATTAGTATTTTAATTAATAACTTACGATACCGTATGATAAAAAGCGGGGTCCAGTTGGCTGGGATATTAACTTTGGTGACATTCCCATATAATTTTACATATAAAATGACAGCGATCTTTATTTCATAGCCATCGCTGACGCGTTTTTTTTGATCATATTGTATTAATATACTAATATAAAAATATTATATATTTTTAAGTCAATAATTTATTAGCTAACCATTAATAGTAACCACTCCAGATTTTATTATTACCTAACCACTGAAAAATATCACAAATAAAACTCTTCAATGAATACAATGTTTTATATACAAATTTTTTAACTGCCGCAGTTTAATAATGTTGATAACAATTTTAAATTGAATTAAAAAAAAATAAAAGTTGAATAATTAAATTACTTTTGTATTGTAAACAAATAAATTAAATTCGAGAAAATATATACTAAATATTTAACTTAAGTGATGTATGTTTGGAAAACCATGAGGTATATAATAACCACAACTTATTTGGTATCAGCCAGTCATCTTCGTTTTCGAGTGACCGTGTGTTACTCAGTATATTTTGATACCATTGATTTCGCATTAAACTTATAAAAGTAATGTCGAAGAATAAAAAAAAAACATTAATGGGAATTATATTAAACCAAACCAAAAATTAAAAAGTCCCGGAGATAAGCTTGACTTTCAGGCATACGTTATCCGACGATACGATATTAATTTTATTGGTTGAATTTAAATACTGGTTAGAAAATTACGCAGTTTTTAAATTTATTGCATTTTTACGCCTATGTTTATCGAATATACAAATGTCCTCCGGAACAGAGCGCAGGCCGTCTGGCTGGCGGTAAACGTTACGTTCACTACTGCGCATCACATCTGTACAGGGCGTCCCATTTTCGGATATTTTGTGGGATTTCTCGTTTATGAGTAGAGATGTAGAATATAGAATGTTTAGCAGGCGGCTTAATCATCGCGACCTTAAGGTGGGTATTCACTTGCAACAAAACACTCCAAACGAACCAAACGCGGCGCGCGCGCTTTTAACAAGTTTGTGTAGTCAGTACGTTGCGCCGAACCGAACCGAACGCGCCAAACATTTTGCGAAGCTTGTCGGTAAACGGGATTTGCTCAAAAGAATTTGTTCGTTGGCCGGTGTTCGGTGGATACGGCAGTTTTGAACGTTCGTTGTGTTTGTGGTTTTTTTAAATTTTAAACTGTGCCTAGCTATGGAGTGAAACAGAGAAAAGTGTTTACAAGGCAGCCTATTTTATGGGATCCGACAAATGGGACATATTATAACAAAGTGAAGAAGCATGATGCTTGGGTGGTAATTGCTAATAATATAGGGTAAGTCTTCTATCGAGTTTTAGAAGATAGAAAGCTAATGCCTCTATAATTAAAAAAGCACCAGCGGCTATGGTACTATCAGATGCAATCCATGTCGACAAACACACTAACACTGATTACTGGTGGGAACGCAACGAACACCGCAAACAGGCGGAACGCAAAATGTTTTGTTGCAGGTTGTTCAAAGCGTTCCAGGAAAATGTTTTGCTGCAGATTGTTTGGAGTGCGCGGCGCGTTTGGTTGGTTCGGAGTGTTTTATTGCAAGTGAATACCCACCTTTTACAGATCTATTGTTCCCCTTTCTTGAGCTATAGCGGGATATTCATCATACAGTCGCAATGCTTTAGATACAATGATGCGATTTTGCTATTTTTTTTATAAAACTATACATGCTACACATAGATTTGATGCGCAGTAGTGAGCCCCACATCTACCGGCAGCCAGACGCAGACGGCCCGCACTTTGGTCAAGAGAGCATAACAAAAGATATATTAAAGAACCAGCTTTCTTAAAATTCTCTTTTTCCTGACGTTGCTAGCTCTCGTACTCAGGGGGTGACAGTGAAATAGGAAAATTGGAAACAGTCATTAGTGTCATTCCTGTCATTCTCCTCACGACAAGTATGGCCGCCTAGACAAGGACAGCATTGTTTCTGTCTAACTTCACAGTTTAGGATTGACAGATTTGTTCTAGAACAAATCGAACAAATCTATTTGACGCCATTTTAATTCACTCCGTTTAGTTTCGTTTTGGAAGTTCAATTTAATATTTCGGCTGAAATTTATAAATATAGAGGTAATAAAGTATATAAAATATATATTACATGAAGAATCCTGGAGAAAATGACGTTTCTGCAGTAGTAGGTATGTCCCATGTATATGAAAAATAGGTAGTAAATAAACACTGTTTTTACATTTTTTAGATGCAAGAAAATGGTGTTATAATCTCTTTGATCGGCAATTTTTTTGAAAATGGAAACAACTTACTTCAAGGTAAGATCATTTTTAACTATAACCCACATTAATTATCTGCAGTATGTGTGGTTTATTATCTATAATACGATAAATCTTTTATTTATCTTTATTTTAAAATGTAAAAGGGAAATTAGGTTTATTTCATATTTATTTTATTTTCAAGTTTTGTTAAATTTCCTAAATGCATCATAGTGTAGACCTAGTATATTTATATTTTATATTCATATTTTTACATTGTTAGTTTTGGTTTAAAAAATCTGTTTTTCTGTTTTCAGGTTTTTGTGTAAGGCTCCCGTTTTCATGTTCCTGTATCCGTTTTCTGTCCTTGAAGTCTGCGATTACGTGTATTTATTTACAAATTACTGTAAGTCATGCTTATACCTTAACTAATTTACGTTAAAAGTGCATATAATTAACTAATTGATATTGAAACAATACAATCCTCTATATTTTTATATTTATTTAGCCACGTTGTTCCATATTTCAAATAAATATATGTGAATAAATTATTTTTTGGTTTTATTTATGATAATAAAAAATACAAAATACATTTGAATTGAAAGAGGGCCCGCCATTGAATAACCGGAAACGGAAATGAAAATTTAGCCATCATGTCACCCTGTCAATTGGAAAATTAGTTCTCCAGACGACCACGAAGGCTTTCGGTGGCGTATTGTGTTTCCACGATTTAATACAGAGTTGACACTTCTTTAATATATCTTTATTAAGGTTAGATTAAATTTGTCAAAAGTGTCAAAACGTCCGTTATTGTACAATCTTTCTCCGTTGACGGGCTGGAGTAAAAAAATTACGGATGAGCGCCGTCGGACCATCGCATCAACAGATAACGGATGCGTGAAAATCGAACTTTAATATAAAAGCAAAATTATTTTCCTTGAACTACTGTATAAAACATGGTTTTAATAATCTTGGTAACACTGAATCAGGAAATTAAGAACCAGTTTGATATGAAAGACAGATACGTCGCCTTAAAGTACAATACACAGCTAAATACAAAAAGATCAATCACTTATTTAATTAAAAAATTACCAGTGACCGATATATGTAGACTTTTGGCAACTGCAGTATACTAAAACCATCACAAAACAAACTTCCATACATTTAAGTTGGCAGATACATTGCCAGAATTTTTATGACAATATCTATATATTCATTTAAAATGACAAAAAAAAAACAATTTATTTTTTAAAAAAATTACGTAAATTTGAACTAAACAATCGATCATCACAACTAAGTCAATTCCTTAATAATATCAAAGTTCAAATTAAATTGGCAATGCATTTGCCCGAAGCACAAACGGGGAAGATATTGCTCAGAACTACAATAGGTATGTTTAAAACATAAATAACGTCTCGGAGATTTTGTAACGCGCGTACGATTACAAAACAAGGAGATACGTTACAAGGATCGTAAAAAAATCTACTAGTTCATGAGTTTAGAGAAAAAAAATACCGTTTCTGCCTGTACTGGCAGCCCTGGGAACATCGATGGAAGGGCGTTCGGGGGGCAACGGAATCACGTTGCGTAACGCTTTGTCCAAAGTCGAGCGATGCGATCGTGTTCCTCGCGATTTTGCAGGTATTGAGTTGCTATACTACCTACTAAAGGATCGGCTGAAACAAAAACAAAAATGTTAGGATACACCGAAATATTTGAAAAGTAACAAGAATTGAAATAAATCTCATCTCTTTCACTGATAAACAACCACAATATTTCTGATAGTTATATCACTGTCAACTATTAAATAAAAACTAAAACCTTCAATTGAAAGAACTGGCAACATACGCAACCTAATGAGCGAATTTGTGACAAGGCTGATTTAATTTCCTCTTTCGCCTCAAGTGCTCTACAATGGAGACACCAATCGTTCTGCGGTCAACGATTAAAAATTAAAACACTTATTTTCTCTAATTCGGCCAGCGAAGGCATATCCAAGACGGTGTGGATCTGACAGCGACAGTGTTGCCATATTAAAAAAGCCTCTTAATTTTTCTTTTAGAGACTATCGCTTATTTCATTATAATTTTGGCGTTATTAAAATTTATTCTGTGCCCTGTGACTCGTGATGTTTCGGTATTTGAGGAACGCGATTTTGGAGCGATATTTTTTTGTAACGTCGTGTCCCGCTTCACAACGAATCAGGAACTTGTTACTGAAGAACGACGATCATAATGACGACAAAATTATAAATTATTTATAATTTGCAAATAAATTATTTTATAATCGCTCTTGAAGTTAGCTTGAACCGTAGTAACCGTATAGCAACGTGTTTAGCTCCAGCCGTCGCGATCGTCGGTCATCAACAGTAGTAACTGACACTGGTATACGTAGCATACTGTAATGAAGTTCATAAAATTTCTAGGACACCCTGTATATTGTGTTAATATTATACTAGAATAATAGAGACTTGATTCTCTTTTAATAATGACAGGCAGTGTATTTTATTGTTAACTCATTATTGTAATGAACTTCATTAGTGTTTCTATTGTTGAATTAAATAAGTTAAATATTTCTTGCCATTTTGTAAGAGAGTTTTGATCGGTTTTGGTCGCTGTGGTTCAGTGCGAGAAACCGAGACGTTTGCGCCGCTCTCCCTACCAGTGCAGGTTGAGTGGAGGGGAGCGTCAGTCGAGTACCTCGGCTACAGCAGCTCTAGAGAGACAGTTTGTGGTCGCACGTGAAACAGTGAGGTTCGAGTCCGGAGTGCCCTGCCAAGTGTCCTGCTGCCAGCCGCCTGTCGCCGCACTGTATAAGGTAAGCACCCACCGCCAAAGTGATCGAGAGTAGGTCGTATTCTTTTATTGTTAATGACGTTTACTTTACTGCCTTAACGCGTTACCGGGATAAGGGAGACAGAGATATGTATATTCGCTCAGATAGGCGCAACTATGCACCTCTACAGAGGCTGGAGGCTATTTGAAAGAATCGCGCGAGCGCAAAGACATAGCAAAACTTATATGCGATCAGGTAGATCAAACTGTGCACCTCTACGGAGGCTGGGGGATATTTGATCGGATCACGTGGACGCGAGGAACGATTTCTTTTGTTAAAAGGGAGAGAGTGAGACAGCTAACGGTTAAGGTAGTTCAGTAAACGCCCGGGTCGCGAATGTTCACGGAGCTAAAACAAGACTTCGCCAAATCCCGAGGCTGGTTTTGTAGCTCTCGTATTTTTCTAGGTGTGTCGTCCGGACGACACCCTGCATCAATAACGCTGGACGGGATCTCGCCGAAATCCCGAGGTTGTCCTGAGCGGGCGGTGTGTGTACGGGCTGCGCTTATCCAAACGACGTACAACTCGCCGAGACGTCGCTAACGTTGTGATCGATCCAGGGCTCGCGTTTGTGTATCCCTCGGGACGCTGTTAATTTCGCGATCGATCCAGGGCTCGCGTGTGTATATCCCACAGGACGCTGTTAGTTTCGCAATCGATCCAGGGCTCGCGTTTGTGTATCCCTCGGGACGCTGTTAATTTCGCGATCGATCCAGGGCTCGCGTGTGTATATCCCACAGGACGCTGTTAATTTCGCGATCAATCCAGGACTCGCGTTTGGGTATCACGGGACGCTTTTAACGTCGACGCCGATCCGAGGTTCGTGTTTCGTTGTCAAAACGGACGCCGTTCCAAGAAATATTTAGCTGTGACCATCGGGACGCCTGTAACGACGTCGCCGCCGTTTAAAGAGTCGCGTCATAGTAGAGTATGTTGCTCCGGTACTTACGTGTCTGTGTTCATTAGGACGCCGCTAAATTCGACGTCGATCAGGAACTCGCGTCGTCTTATTTAATAGAACGTCATTTCGGGAACGCGTTTTGAATTCGCGTGATAGAATCAGTCAGAGAGTTGCATCTCGGGAATAATCGATCAAAACTCTAGAGGTACGGTTGTTAGTGTAAATTTTGCTCTGCGAGGTACTAAATATTTATTTTATTTTTATTATTGTTACAATTAAAGAACGCGAAATTGCTTTGATTACTTTTGTACATAATTAATTAGTTAAATAAAAACCTAGTGTTAGGTTATAGTTAATTGTGTGTTTTATTTTCTTTTTATCTCATCACTCCCTGGTATCTCCACTGTATAAAAGCTACCCGTATTGGCACTAGTGGTCTCTCAAACACTTTAAACATTGGGGGTGGCGCCCGAGGAACCGAAACAAGGCAACTCGGCGTCCGTGACCTTTCTCAAAAACAGGGGAGCGTCACAATACGTATACGTAGCGTCGCGCGTATTCGCTCCAGCCTTCGCGTTCCTAGAGCCGTAGTTCCGCCTGTCGCGAACAGAAGTAACTGTTAACTGCTGTAACTGATTATCGACGCTCGACCTCGGCGGCGACGTAATTTCGCTTCAGCCGTCGCGCTCCTAGAGCGGCTAGAGCCGTAGTTCCGTCTGCACAAACAGAAGTAACTGGTCCCTGCTGTAACTGGCTATCAACGCTCGACCTCGGCGGTGACGTACTTCGTTCCAGCAGTCGCTGGAGCGCTTCTAGGGTTCCGGTTTTGCCTGTCGCGATTTGGTCGGTTACTATTGGCGTTGGTGCTCCCGTCGCTACGTTACTTTCAAAATAGCGATTTTTGGTATGTACTAGACATGGTATAAAATAGCGTTGTTTGAAAGATGAAACGCAAAAGCAAATAAAATAAAATTTTAGTTGCTTTTATACATTTATATAAGTTTTATTGTTTATATCTATTTTTAATGTTGGGTTAGGTCAATAAACATTTTTTTTTTGACAGTAGTTTGGACTTTATTCTAGATTTTAACATTAAATATATTATATTGCAATGCACATATATGAGCCGTTGATTTTATTTAAACGAAAATTGATGGAAAATAACAAGGAATGTCATAGTTTTTCTAAAAATGAGATAGATTGGCTATACACAATTATTATAAATTCGATATTTGGAAAATGAGTGCCGGATAAAAGTTACATTAATCAACAAATATAGATAAGTTAGATATATTTTTAGCGAGGAACGCGACACTTTGGAAGTTGGAACTTCGGTTACATAATCGCGGTATTTTTCTGGAACGGTCCCTATTGTAACGCGACTCATGTGGAACCGGTATTCCCATCACTACTCTGAACCTTTGTAGTTGTTATACAGTAGAAGTTGGATAAAACAGTTTTAGTTTTAAATAAATTAATATTGTAAGGAATAGAGCCCTTAAAATCTTACCTGGATTGCAGTCAGTCAGCAAAGAGCAAATGGAAAGCAGCACTTTCGAAATAGTTAATGCAGGTGACCAATTGTCCTTTAAAATGTCTAAACAAATCACTCCTTGACTGTTGATATTACAGTGATAAATCCTGGTGCGGAAAGTAACCTTTGGAGGTTTGAAGGGGTACTCTGGAGAAAAGTGGATATCTAAGAAAAACACGCCACCTAAAAACAGATCAGCATTAATTAATATATTACCGGAAATATTCTGTTAAAAGAGACAATACAAATTAAGAGTGAAATGATGGAATATTATTAATTACTAACGGTTCTTTCAGTTCATCAAACTCTTTAAGCTTAAGAGCCCCCTATATACCAATCTGCGGAAAAAAAACTTTCGTATTTTGGACGGCCAAGTCCGACCTGCCCACTTAGTCTGCCAATTAATTTTTTTGTCCAATTACGCAACGCAACGCGAATATAGTGAATATATTTAAGAAGAAAGGAAGAGCATCAGATTGCGGAAACTACAGAGGAATTTCACTACTGGTCATCGGAGGAAAAGTTCTCGCAAAAATTATGTCAAACCGTGTGTGTTAGTGTGTTTGTCGATAAGGATGCTTCTGATATTACCATAGCCGCTGGTGCTTTTTTAATTATAGAGGCATTAGCGGGTAACAAAAAAGAGAAAAAAAGGAAAGGACGAAAAATGTGGGCAAGACGCCTCTTTTTGAGCCGTCAATATAATATGGCCTTACTTAGTGACCTAGATTATATGCATAAGAAGAATTTAATTAATTTAATAATTAATTATTAATTTAATAAAATAGCCCAAGTAGCATCTATCTGACTTCAAACTAAATCTGACCTGAAGCGACGTCAGACTTTGTGCAAATTTAGGTCGGGTGCTGGTGATACGACTGGTGACGTCGCTTTCCTATTAAAAGCGACGTCGTTGGATCCGAGTCGGTAAATCCAACGATCTGTCGACGTACAAAATAACAACGTACCATTTTTATTAATTTCCCAACGTCGTTCCAACGTTGGCTTGCACGACGTACCTATATTTGAACTAGCCCGACGTCTACCTGTTGTCCGAATAGGATACGTCTCACTGATAATCCCTAAAGTAACGTCCAATTATATTTTGTTGTATTTTATGTTCATATTTTTAACCTAATTTACGTATCTCTATTTACGTCCGTAAATACAACCCATTAAGTAGCCTAATAAACATCATGAACATAACCTAATAAAAAGTTTTTGTAAACAAACTTATTTTTTTTTATTATGCCTAAAAAAACACTAAAATGGCATTTAGACGTTCATCTACATTTTACAGAAAGAGGTCAAGGCTTTTGCAAAATAATAATAGTAGTAGTGATGTCTTCCCTCCACCCACGAATGCTTTTTATCTGGAAGAGATGCTGCATTACACTGGTGCATCTTAATTTCATTTTTTAGCTTAGAAAACCAGCAGACCCCATCCTCCTCCTACATGTGAGGTACTGGTTCCAATTCTTTTAAATTTTGTATATACTATCTTAAAAAAGTGGCTGCCCATTGTTTTAAAGAGAAAACAAAAACTAAAATATAGTTGCACAAATCCACAAATCGCTGATACGCAAAGTGAGGTTACGTGCCGTACGTTGGAATTATATACGTCATAAAACGATTGCCGGTCGTCCGGTTCGGAAAATGTTTGGCGCGTTCGGTTCGGTTCGGCGCAACGTATTCACTACACAAACTAGATAAAGCGCGCGGCGCGTTTGGTTCGTTCGGAGTGTTTTGAGTGTGAATACCCACCTTTAGACAACTGTTAAGAATCAAATGGTATCACCACGTCTCGAACGTATCAGTCCTTGAAAAAGCAAGCTGCGAAAGCGCTGAAGTCATGATTACTAAATCTCGCTTAAGATGGGCTGGCCACGTATGCAGGATGCAAGAAAACCGCCTACCGAAATCTCTTCTTTATGGTGAACTTGTAGAGAAAAGATACAAGGATGTTTTTCATGAAAACTTAAAGGGGATAAGTATGCAACATCAGTAGCAGGAAGCAGCGCACAATAGAACGGAATGGAGAGGAGAATTGTAAATTCAGTAATAACGACAACCAAAAAGTAAAGAGGCAACAAAGTAATGAGATTTTTGAATGTCCGGAGTGCGGAAGAGAGATAACATCACGTATCGGGCTTTTCAGTCACAGAAAAGCTCATGACAGGAAACGCCTTGCGTAACCATCGTCTGATGCCTGTCAAATACTCGTTAGCGAGTAATGGCAGTAAGTAAGTATCCAATTAAACATTACGACGTTTTATAAAAGCGTTACAAGTTCGCTTCACACTTCGGAGTAAATGAAAATGATATTTCAACGAGGTACCTTCATAAACAGATCCAGGAGGTCCTAAGATTGTGGACACCCATTCATAGAAGTTTTCGCCTTTAGGACCAGCACTGCAATTTGGTGGCGGATCTAAAGTAATTTCGGCCAGTTCCTTCTGGATGCGCTTGGCTGAAGTACCCAGTGCTTTAGACATCTTGGGATTTGGTTTGGCTTCTTTAGTCTCCTTTTGATCGCCAACTGCTGCTTGACTGCCTCTTCCTCTTCCGGAGCCGCTTGATCCAGCTGCAGACATAATCCTAAAAAGAAAACCTAGTCAGTATTCAAAATACCGGGTGGCGTCACAAAAGTGGCTCACCCCTATAACTTTTTTATTTTTTTTTAGATAAAAAAAAGAGATTTGGTATATTAGTATGTGACATAAATTAGGATTGATTGACGTATTCAATTATTTTTTTGGTCACTTCCTGTTTCACCAGAAATTACCCTCGTTTTTTTTACTTTATTCCATAGAAAATGACACTCTGAATAGAATCACATATATCAAATGTCAACTTTTAATTGACTCGAAATATCAAGTGTGTGGTACCAAATTATTCGTAAAATTGTATATTATTCAATGAGCATATAATGGTGGCTGTTATTCACGAAGATGAAGTTTATGATACGAGCCGCAGGCGAGTGTCATAAATCATCCAAGTGAATAACAGCCATTATATGCGAGTAGAATACTATACTTTATTCAGGACTATCAAAAAAATTTAGATAATATTAATATAAGTTTTTATTTTTAAAAAACATTTTTTGAAACCCCCCATAGATGAATGCTAAAAATAACATTGAAAACTTCAAATTTTTAAATCGAATTTTAGAAAGCAAAAAGTGAAATTTAAAACTTCAAATTTTTAAATCGAATTTTAGAGTAGAAAATGATGTAATTTGTTTCTTCGTAATGGTGTCTAATAATTTGTTTACATGTCGAGATATAACATGAGAGACTTATTAAAAAGGAAAAAATATTTTAAATCTTCACAGCTTCAAAATCTTTTACAAACACCCCACAGATGAATGCAAAAAGTGACATTAAAAGCTTCAAATAGCTCTTGTTTGGAGTTTGGATCGAGATATCCGTGGAAGCGGTGAATAATGGAACCATTTAGTGATTAATGAATATTATTATTATTTCATAAACACATGTATAATAAGTAATTATAGACGAGTCGTGGATAAAAAATGTTTTTATTTTTGTTCCAAATATGCTAATGAGCCACCCTCGTTCCATTTGAAAAAATGAGATATGATAAAAATACGATTTGGGCATCTTTTAACTGGCCAGAACAAGACACTAAAAACATTAGACGATCAAATTTATTTTTCCAAGGCCTATTGATTAAAAATTAGTGTTTTTAACATAGCCATGGCACTCCTCTAGATTAAAATTTAAAATATGATTTTCATGACATTCTATTCAGAATGTAACAACCAAAACAATTGAATATGTCAATCAATCCTAATTTATGACATACCAAACCATACTAACATACCAAATCTCGTTTTTTAACTGAAAAGATATAGGGATGAGGGATGAGCCACTTTTGAGACGCACCCAGCATAAACAAATACTTAAAAGTTCCAAAAAGTAGAAAATAATAATCTTGTAATTATCTATATCGAAAGTTTATGATAAAATAAACATATGGCTCAATTAAAATATAGTAGACAAGATGAATCTTGCATGGATCCAACAATTTTTCATAAATTGCACATATTATTTTGTTAATATATGAGTAAAAATTAAACAAATATGTCTGAAATTACACATAATTTAAAGTTTACAAGAGTATCAAAATAAAAAAAAAACTTAAGGCAATATGAACATAGATCATGGTTCATAGGATATTCGTTTTAGTTCTTTGTTCTTGTCCCTCTGTAACAATAGCAATGGAGAGCATATATGTATGTACAAGGTGTCTTAAATATAGTTCAATTTGTAAATAAAGCTATGGGGTGGGGGTAATTTACACCCTTCCCGTACTTTTTCTTGATTTTTGTTAATCAAATGTTAAAGCATTTCGCAAAACGTAGGCACCCCAAATCTCATTCAAATCGGAATAACGGTTCTCAAAATATCTTAAAAATGTGTTTATTTTTTTAAAGTTTGATGCCCTCTAGCGGACAAAAGAAGCATTTTTGTATAGAGGTAAATTGTGCCCAATGAACTTTGATTCCAAAAATACGGAGAAGTTCTATTTCCGCGGAATATTAGGACATCCTGTATAAGAATTTTATAAATTTTGCTACTTGTTCCAGTATCCAGTATATATCTGGAGGCACGGCAGTGCCCCCGCCAAATCTAGCACAGCTGTACACATCCTTTTCTCAAATATATTAGCGACACTTTTGACCACCCTGTAATTTCGTTGTGGATAAAGCAAGAATATTAATTTTCACTATACTTGAAGACATACTATAGCTGGCTAGGTTACCAAAATATCTAGTAATTATCCCTCATAGTTTATGAATAATTATCGCTTGTCAAATTTCTTTAATTTCGACATTGACTCACTGACAGATCATCAAAATTCTAAGGTACTTCTAGATGTGTCACAAACTCCAAATTTAGAATTTTAGGTAGCTTTAAGCTTATAACCAAATGAAAAAATGAAAAATCTCGAAATATCCTTATGGATTAAAAGTTAGCTGTCTAGCCGCTACCGGTAGCTGGCTTTCTAGTCGTGAAAAAGATAGAAAACTAGAATAATTAATCAAAGCAGTTTCTCCTGATTTTATTTATATATCAATGTAGCAACAATAATTCAAGGATTATGAATTTTTTCTAGTCAGACTTTAACTTGCAATGAAGTCCCTAATAAGACTAGAAATGCAAATGCAAATAAAAATAATATGAACTATGTATGATACCTAGTAATTTTTAAAGAAACCTGATGCCAATTTTATTTTCAACCATACAGTATGTGGTCCAGTATATATCTGGAGGCACGGCAGTGCCCCCGCCAAATCTAGCACAGCTGTACACATCCTTTTCTCAAAGATATTAGCGGCACTTTTGACCACCCTGTAATTTCGTTGTGGATAAAGCAAGAATATTAATTTTCACTATACTTGAAGACATACTATAGCTGGCTAGGTTACCAAAATATCTAGTAATTATCCCTCATAGTTTATGAATAATTATCGCTTGTCAAATTTCGACATTGACTCACTGACAGATCATCAAAATTCTAAGGTACTTCTAGATGTGTCACAAACTCCAAATTTAGAATTTTAGGTAGCTTTAAGCTTATAACCAAAGGAAAAAATGAAAAATCTCGAAATATCCTTATGGTTTAAAAGTTAGCTGTCTAGCCGCTACCGGTGGCTGGCTTTCCAGTCGAGAAAAAGCTAGAAAACTAGAATTAATCGAAGCAGTTTCTTCTGATTTTATTTATATATCAATGTACCAACAATAACTCAAGGATTATGACTTTTTTCTAGTCAGACTTTAACTTGCAATGAAGTCCCTAATAAGACTAGAAATGCAAATAAAAATAATATGAACTATGTATGATACCTAGTAATTTTTAAAGAAACCTGATGCCAATTTTATTTTCAACCATACAGTATGTGGGCGTCAAGACCTACCTACATGTCAAATTTCAATATTTTATTAAAACCCCTAGTTACACAGACTGGTAACAACTTTTTTAAGACTGATTAGGTACTCCTATTTATGATTCTTTTAAGAAACAACTCTAAAATTAGTCTAATAACTGAAGAACCAATTATTTCTCCAGTTACTGGCAATATCAAAAATGTTAACAAGTGTATTGATTTATTAAGATTCTACCTTTAAGTTACATAGATATCTATCTAATCAACATTCCAGAACTACAACTTAACCGAACTTAATAATTTTTTGATCTTACAATCTTACTTATAACTTTTATATTAAGATTAATATAACTGTAAAATGTAATAACAAATTTATTGCTACCTAAAGTGTTTAAAGTTTTAATCAGTATATTAGATCCATACTTCATATATTTGTATGCATTATTATCTCTATTGCTTTTAAATAATGAGTTTATAAATTATTTCTGTCACAATAAAATCAGGCAAAGAATATCTGCAAGTCAATAATGCTTCCTTTGTTTGATTAAGTGAAAGAAGGTATGATTTACAGTGATAATATCTTAGCAGGTTAATAAACTACTGTAATACGGGTGAATAGCTTATTAAACGGTTTTACGACATCAAGAATTGGATCATTAGAAGGTAGAAAGCTAAACGACCCTTCTTAAAAATTGATCCCGTCGTTTGTCGGCCATTTTGATTCAATTCTCCAGGAACGAGATTTTTAATGGAAATAATTAAAATACCCTCTAGATACACTTTAACTTACACATTAAATGCGCCGGTAAACATAAATGTGTACACTACACTGAATTATTTTCTTAGATATCGAATCTTATTTTGAGAACTAGTTGACCACTTGAACCAATTTGCTTGGCATTGTAATAAAAAGTAGTGTGATACATAAATGATGTTCGCTCGTTCTAAATAAAGTTTATTACTAAATAATGTATCATAATAATTATACATACCAATAAATTTCTGCACTTGCAAAACTAAAAACAAATTTACACTCCCTTTTTCAGAAGTGACGGCTAATCATGGCGAACGGGCGAACTTCGAAAACAGAGAGGTCAAATCAAGATCGCCAACATACAAATATCCCTAGCAGAACAAATCAGAATAAAAATCGTTTTTGGTAAACTATTTCAAATAATATTGTGATTTATTATTACCTTTATTATCACTCGGTAAATCTTATATTAGTTGAAGTGATTATAAGTATTTAATATATTTACTTAAAATATTTTATATAAAATATTTATTAGGAATATTTTCTGTAATGTATTTATGTTGTTTGCCCTGAGATTTTTTATTTGATGTTTTGACATTTTTTGACTGGAAAATCTAACCTAAAAAATTAAAAAAATATTTACATTTTTGTAACTTTCCCTTTGAAGCTTTTGGATATTTTATCGCAGGATTAATTGAAAAATAACAAAATGGGGAAGCGACAGCATCAAAAAGACAAAATGTATTTAACGTATACAGAATGGACTACGTTATATGGTGGTAAAAAGTCAGGCACCCTAGCGAAAGATGAACAAAATTTCAAACGCTTACCTTTTGATCATTGCTGCTTATCTTTGCAACCATTTGAAGTGCCCTTCTGTGATTTAGATGGAAATATTTTTGACTTGGATGCACTTATCCCATTTCTCAAGAAATTTAAGATTAATCCGGTTACTGGAAAACCATTAGATTTTCACTCGTTAGTCCAGTTAAATATGAAGGTAGACAGCGATGGAAATTTTGAATGCCCAGTATTACTTAGAGCCTTTACTAAAAGTTCTCATATAGCAGCTATTGCTACCACAGGAAATGTTTATTTGATGGAAGCTATCGAACAGTTAAATATAAAGAATCGCAATTGGAAAGACCTGATTAACGATAAGCCATTTGAGAGGAAAGATATAATTACTCTGCAAGATCCTAATAACATAGCAAAATTTAATATATCACAGTTTCACCATGTAAAGAATAATCTAAGGGTGGAAACAGAAGGTAACATTATTTTGTTAATTTTATATTTTATAATTATTAAAAGAGATTATGATTTAGGAAAAATTGTTAATACTTTATTTGCTTTTTTTACAGATGAAATTAATGACAAATTAAATTCTCAAGCTAGATTAAAATCTATTAACCCGGAGACGAGAGACACTTTGACACAATTAGAGAAAGAATACAAACCTCCAACAATCGAAATAAATAAAACTGCAACAAATCTGAAGGCCGATAAGTTTAATGCTGCTCATTACTCTACTGGAGCCGTAGCAGCAAGTTTTACATCAACATCCATGCAACCTAATTTGGTTCATGAGGCAGCAATTAGACATGAGGATGAAGTACGATATGAAAGAGTAAAGAAAAAAGGTATGCTGTTTAAGGAAACTATATTGATAAATGATTAGTTTTGTTTTATTTAACGTTTTATATAAAATTAATTCTCTGTAAGCCATCATAATTACATTTTTTTACTAGTCATTGCAATACAGCTATAAAAAAAACATATGATTAATTTCAACATCATTTTGTAATGTATGCAATACTAATTTAAGTATTTTACTCACAAAGGCAAAAGAGCACATTCACTCTTTCACTCCCTTTAATTTAATTTCCTCTAAGATACATATACCGGGTTCGTCTGAAAAGTGGCTCCCCCCTATAACTTTTTTATTTTTTCAAATTACAGAACGAGATTTAGTATGTTAGTATATATGACATAAATTAGGATTGATTGATGTATTCAACTGTTTTTGGTCATTTCCTGTTTCACCACAAATGACTACATTTTTTGATTTTTAAATGGTACCATCAGTATTTTGTTGCTTTTTTCGATAGAAAATGACCCTCTGAATAGAATGACATATCATATGTCAACCTTTGACATTTTTGAATATGGTTTATTTGAAATTGTAATATGCAGTTCATAACGATAATTTGACTCGAAATACCAAGTGTGTGGTACCAAATTATTAGTGCTTTTTCCAAATATGCTAATGAGCCACCCTCGTTCCATTTAAAAAAATTGAGATATGATTAAAAATACGATTTAGGCACCTTTTAAGACACTAAAAACATTAGACGATCAAACATATTTTTCCAAGGTTCCTTGATTAAAAATTAGTGTTTTTAACACATGGCACTCTAGATTGAAAGTTACTATTAATACAATTTTGTTTTAAGGAATAATAGGGAGTTTTCGTTGCTTTAAAAAAATTCAACGGTACGGTTAACGGATACGTAACCATAACCGCTATTTTGACAGATAAAAAAACAGGTTTCGGACTTTTGGTTCATCGATTCGGAGCCGACATACGATACGATAACCGAAAACTGACAGCTGACTGAGAGCACAGCCCGTAGCGTCTTTTGATTTTTGGTTTTTGTATTGTTGTTTGATTTGAAAGTGCTTTATATGACTTTATTGGATATCGCTATACAGGGTTGTTCACCACATACAACACGGAGTATTGTAGCTAAACGATGAGATTTTTACAAATTGTAAGTTTTGGGTTCGATGAAGGACTATTAGAGGTACAATTTAAAAATAATTTTACAAGATACAGAGTGTCCCAAATAAGTAAAAAATATCAAAGTTGTATTTTTTTTAAATGGAACACCCTATATATTATTACATTTTTAGTTTCTACGATTAAAATAAAGGTAAATTTGATAAAGGTTTATTATACTTACACCTTACCGTTTTTGAAATATTTTCAATTTTGTGAAATTGCAGTAAAAATTTTAAAGCTTCATTTCTCCAAGGGTATCAAAGTTTTTAATACTAAATATTTACTGAAGTTTATTTACTGATCAGTTATTGTGTTGCAATAATAAAAATAATACTACCTTATACAGAGTGTCTAAAAATTTATTTTAAATAATTATTAGCTTCAAACGGCAATAACTTGTTTAATTTAAATGGAACACCCTCTATATTTTACGAGGATCAGATGCACAATTTAATTGTCTATCAAATTATATTATACCATTTTTTACCTATCTCTTTAAGTTGTGAAGTGTATTTCAAAAACGGTAAGGTTTAAGTTTAATAAACCTTAATCAAATTTACCTTTATTTTAATCGTAGAAACTAAAAATGTAATAATATACAGGGTGTTCCATTTAAGAAAATACAACTTTGACATTTTTTATTTATTTGGGACACTCTGTATCTTGTAAAAATATTTTTAAATTGTAGCTCTAATAGTCCTTCAACGAACCCCAAACTTACAATTTGTAAAAATATCATCGTTTAGCCACAATACTTCGTGTCGTATGTGGTGAACAACCCTGTATAGGATGGACAATTTAATTTTATTGGACTCTAGTGATAAATCGGATTTGGAGGATGCTATGCTGTTGGAAGGATTTGAAAACAACATCAAATATCGAGCAGAACTTTATGGGGAGTTTAACCTAGAAATATTATCTGACCAAGAGTGCGATGCTAATTTCCGCTTTGAAAAAAAAGACATTCCTCGATTAGTTGAAGCACTAAGAATTCCAAACTTGTTTAACACATATAAAATAAATAATCAAAACGTAAACAAAATAGAATGAGGTTAGGTCAGATCTGTATTTTTCAATGTTGTGTTCTACTGCGCTAGTGCGCATGCGTACCGCTATGTTAACGGCTTTGGCTAACGTCCGTAAAATATCCGCAGTTAGCGGTTACGATATACGATAATCGAAATTGAAATGTCAAAGTTGTCAATTAGTGTTAACCGGAATTGCAATTTGTAAGCAACGGAAACTCCCTAATGTCAAAAGTTGACACATGATATGTTATTGTATTGATAAAAACAAATATTGAATTAATGGCAAAAACCTAAATATTTCAAAAACGGTAAGATTAAAATGAGGTAAACCCTAATCAAATTTACCTTTATTTTAATCGTAGAAACTAAAAATGTAATAATATACAGGGTGTTCCATTTAAAAAAATACAACTTTGATATTTTTTATTTATTTGGGCCACTCTGTATCTTGTAAAAATATTTTTAAATTGTAGCTCTAATAGTCCTTCAACGAACCCAAAACTTACAATTTGTAAAAATCTAAGAGTTTAGCTACAATACTCCGCGTCGTATGTGGTGAACAACCCTGTATATTAAATATTCTTATTTTGTTCTTAAATATACTACGATTTTAGGATATGTTAGACTGGTTACAAATTTAGGAATGCTAAACTTAGAACTTTACTGCGACCAAGTACCAAAAACATGTGAAAACTTCATAAAGCATTGTGAAAATGGTTATTACAATGGAACAAAGTTCCACAGATCCATTCGAAATTTTATGGTATGCATTTTTTGATTAGATTAGGAGCTCATAATAATTAATCAATGTTGAAGATTCAAGGAGGAGATCCGACAAATACTGGAAACGGAGGAACTTCTATTTGGAAAAAGAAATTTGAAGATGAGTTTAGACCAAATTTAAGTCACACAGGGCGGGGCGTACTGTCCATGGCAAACTCCGGAAAGCATACAAATGGATCTCAGTTGTAAGTTCAGGGTTCAGAAGTAGTTAATTAAGACGTAATTTACCTGATTAACTAGGTGTAGTTTTTCTTCAACGTTTACGTCTTTTCCCGTTCATTAACTAGATGAAAACTACGTTAATAAACTACGTATTGATATTATGAATAATTTTCCTTTGTATGAGAGGTCTAAATAATATGATGTGAATGGTTATATTTCAAACCATATTTCTTCTGTTTTCTTAAATACATTATGTGTTTTCTAAAGCTTCAACTTATTATAACCTCACCTCAAACCTTTGATATTTGAACGTTACATACATAGGTTACATAAACTTCTACATAAACTCCATTAACTACATGTAATATAGTTTATGTAGTTTTTAAAAGTAACATATAGTTTTCCAAACCCTGTGCACCATTACCTTTACAGAAATAAAACTGCAAGAATAAATCCACATTTGTTGACTACAATAAATAATACGCAGAAAAAAAGACAATGAATAACATTCCATTTTCAAGTAAAAGTATATTTATTTTATAAATAAGGCAAGAAATCATTAGTGTGGTTAGAATATTCTTTATCGCGTACTTGTCTCTGTGTAATCTAACTCTCTGTCTTTGTCTAATGGTTTGTTCACGCTTTCAATCTTAACCCTAACACTAACATTAGTCTCAAGAATATGAATCAGCTTAACAAATGCTAGCTGCGTTGATGATTTCAGTGCATCGATCTCAACATTAGCCTTAGACCTAGAAGCAAGAATAAAATTTAAGAAAGAATGCAATTTAAGGAAACCTTAAAACTTTATTAAGACTTTTTTGGGACACTTTCTATACAGGGTGGTCCGAATTGTATTCCGGAAACTTCGGCAGCATATTCTGCAGATAAAAATAAGTAAAAAAGTTCGTATAAATGTATGTCCTAAAATGCTTAGTTTCGGAGATACAGGGTGTAGAAGTTTCATTTTTATTTCGATTTTTTCCAAATAACCAATTTAAGTTAAAAATTTAACCAAATTTAACCAAATAAATGAAAATTGGTGGATGGGTGTTTTTTGACATGAGAAATTTGATTTTGATGTCAATATGACTCCCATTTGTAGGTGGCGCCACCTACATGTGTTTTAACTGTTTTGAAGAGTAATAATTTTTCGTCGGTACCTGTATAAAACTACTGAGTAAAAAAATATACATTTACGACTTGTTTTACATAAAAAAGGTCTCTTGGTAAAAATCGCTACGAGTAATGGTTCTCGAGATATTTGGAATCGAAATTATCAATACCTGTCATCATTGACATAAATTAAACATGTTGACTAAATAGTAATTAGACTGAAATCATAAATTTGAAACCTTTTTGTGTCAAAAGTTCAAAAGAAATTGTTTAATCATCATTTTTTCGCAGAAAAACTTATGATTAATTTAAAAAAATAAAAATTTATTATTTCAGTCAAATAACTATACTCAACGTGTGCTTATTTTTACATAAAAAGTCATGAAAATGTATATTTTTTTAGTCAGTGGTTTTATACAGGTACGGTCGAAAAGTTATTACTCTTCAAAACAGTTAAAACACATGTAGGTGGCGCCCCCTGCAAATAGGAGTAATTTTGACATCAAAATCAAATTTCTCGTGTCACAATTCTCCCAGATACCAATTTTCATTCAAATATTGACGTTACTTGGAAATTATTTGGAAAAAATCGAAATAAAAATAAACTTCTACACCCTGTATCTCCGAAACTAAGCATTTTAGGATATACATTTATATGAACTTTTTTGCTTATTTTTATCTGCAGAATATGCTGTCGAAGTTTCCGGAATACAATTCGGACCACCCTGTATAGAGTGGCGCCTCTCATACGCCGCGGAAGCTCCAAGGAGAACGGTAGTTTATATCGAAATGAAGTTTTGGCAGCATATGTAGTTTAACTGAAAGCATTTTATAAAAATATTTAGAATTATACAGGGTGTCCCCCAAAAAAGTTACACATCAAGGTTGTGTTTTTTCTAATGGAAGACCCTATATATTAATTGATTTTCGGATTCTAGAAAAAAATAAATGTGAGTTTTATTAAAGAAGCATATACCTAAAATCTAAGGATATTGACATATTTCACATTTAAGAGTAAATTTTAAATTTCGATAACAGCTACCTAAATTTTAGTTGAACTTGTATAACCTGGTATTTAATTACAGTAACCATTGTATGTTAAACCAACTTGAAATTTGACCCGAAAAGTTATACAGGGTGAGACAGAATTAATATTGAACATTAGTCAATTTTAAAAGCAAGTTACTCCTTTATTTTAAATGGAACACCCAGTATATTATTCCGGTGTTCAATGGGGAATTTATATATCTTCAAAATATTATTAAGGTTGCCTACCCCTCAGACAAAGATTTTCTTAGATATTTTAGTTTTTATGATTTTGCGCCAGTAGATATTTATTATTTGAAAAATTATAGGGCGGCTGTGATATAAGATAATATAATCAAAATAAGTTCATTGGACACAATTTATCTCTATACAAAAGTGCTTCTTTTGTCCGTTAGAGGGCATCGAACTTTAAAAAATAAACACATTTTTTAAGATATTTTAGGAACCGTTGCTATGTGCTTTAAAATTTGACTTTCACAAAAAAACAAGAAAAAGTACGGGAAGGGTAAAAACTTTAATATTTTATAGCTCTTACATGATTATATCCATTTACAATTTTCCTATTGTAAAATTTTATTGATACGCCTTTTTTGTCCATGTATGTTTTATTTGTAATTTTAATGACGTGAATTTTTTTTGAATTGATTTGTATTGTATGATATTTTTTATAATAATGTTTTACAATACTTACTTTTTGTACAATAAAGCGTTGTTTATTTTATTATTATATTTTGGTTTCAGTTTTATTACGTTTAGATCGTGCAAACATTTGGATAATAAACATACAGTATTTGGAAAAGTTGTTGGAGGCATAGAAACGTTGAACGAAATGGAGAGAATAGAAGTAGATAATAAAGACAGGCCGATCGAAGATATTGTTTTACTTAAAACGCAAATATTCGTCAACCCTTATGACGAAGCGGACGAAATCGTAAGTGTTTTATGCCAGAATTGAGGTAACCTGTTGATTGTCTGAAATATTTAGCTTGCCAAAGAACGAGAGGATGAATTAAATCGAGAGAAGAAAGAACAAGAAGAGAAAAAGAAGAAAATGCTGCGAAACACGCCTTTGAAAGCGTTTAAGAGTGGTGTTGGAAAGTATATAAATCCACAGCAGGTAGAAGAGGTCAAGAAGAGGTATTTTAATTACTTCTAATAGTACGAGAGCTAGCAACGTCAGAAAAACAAGTATTTTAAGACGTCTGGCTCCTTGATATATCTTTTACTATGCTCTCTTGAACAGCATGCGGCCCGTCTGACTGCCGGTAAACGTTGCGTTCCCTACTGCGCATTGAAAGAAGATCCTATATTTTTATTAGTCCTTTAAATTTTAGTATTGAATATAAACCGACCGAGTCTTCATAGCTCAGCGCGTAGAGGTTTCGCCTATCAAGCGAGGAGTCAGAGTTAGAATCCGGGTCAGGGCAAAAACTTTTTTATTTTATTTTCGTTTATATTCTGATAGTAAAGTATTAAATATTTTTTTTTTGAATCACCAGAATTGTTTAATACTTTACTATTAGAATATAAACGAAAATAAAATAAAAAAGTCTTTGCCTGACCCGGATTCGAACTCTGAATCCTCGGTTCGTAATCGGAAACTCTACGCACTGCGCTATGGAGACATGTTCGATTTATATTCAATACTAGAATTTATAGGACTAAATTGAAAAAAATATATAGGCTCTTCTACCGATGCGCAGTAGTGAACACAACGGGTATCGGCAGCCAGACGGGCCGCATGCTGTTCCAGTGAAAGATATATCAAAGAGCCAGACGTCTTAAAATACTTTCTCCAGAGAATAGGTACATTAAAGAAATGCTAACTTCATGTTAAAAAATGGAAACAGACGCCACCCGGTGTAGCCTGGCAGTACTAGCTAAATTGAGGGGAATTGGAGGGGCGGGGCTTAAAAGAGGGGAAATTTTAAAGTTAATAAACATATTTTTTATTACTTTAATATAATTTAAAGTATTAAAAAATATGTCTATTAACTTTACACAGCAAATCAATGATATTATTAAAGACTTATTATTTTCAGAGAAAATTCATAGTAAATAAATTACACATTTAGTAAACAATATCATTTATTTTTTAGAGCTGCGATTTATATTACAATAATATTGAAATATATATATTTTTTTAACAATGAAAAAAAATATCCCGGAACCTGAAAAAGAAAGATGATCAATTAATGACTTAAATTAGTTCAAAATACATTTTGCAAATAACCAGTGAATTGGAAAGATAAACATACTATTAAAAATACATTTTAGTAGTATGTTATCATCTATTTACTGGTAATACATAAGTGTATAATAGGTAAATAACATGCATAAGGCACTATGATACAACTACCTAGTAGTTGTATCATAATAACACACTAGGTCTGTTCCCAGAAGAATCAGGTTTCTACGTATTTTAGCCAATGAGAAACGTGCTGACTAGTCAGGGATTCTTAGTTCAGGGATTCTTCTGGGAACAGACCTACTAATATCACAAAAAATATGTGCTAATTTAAATTCCGATCTAATGAAACACTATCTAGCCTCAATGCATGCCATTCCAAAGGCAAAAAAAACTATTATACCAAATAAATATAAGCTGAATAAAACATAAACCAAGCCAACGTGCATAAACAACCAAAAAATGCATCAAAAAATACTTTTATCAGATCATACCACCCTTGGATATATTATGTATTTTATATATCGTACATCCCGTTTAAAAGTTTACTAACTCAAAATAGAGAATATAGAGAACATTGTCACAAAAGAAGTAAAAGAAAATTTAAGTTAAGGCAATATGCTCCTTTTTGCATATTAATGGCCAAATAATATAATGTTGACTTAATAAAATTTTACTGGCATCCTTCTGAGGTATAAATCAGATTAAAAGGACATTGTTTTTGTAATAATTGTTTGTTTTGTAAACATTTTTTGAAGACAATACAGTTTTGAACGGGCTGTGCGATATAAACAAGGATCTTACTATTATTTGAGGTTAGAAAGTATTTAAATAACATAAAACATAATCAAAATCATTTTTCATCATAAATTATAGAGGTACTTACGTGTTTTGATATTATTATCAGGAAATAATACGTTTACTTAAACAGGTACGCTACCAGGCAAGTTCTATCGGCGGGTCTTTGCAAAAGTTGAAATCTAAAAATACAAAAATACGTTTACATCTTAGTTGTATTTACGAATAAAGTATTTGTGTGTAATTTCTGACTTAGGTACCAGTTAACTGAATAATCGCATTAAATACATCCAAATGGTAATTTAATATTGTTAAAACGCAAAATTGTTTTAAATCACTTGCCAGGACAGCCGGCCAGCTTCTTTGTTGACAAAATGGCCACGGTCAGCCAAAAAAGCCAATGCCTGGCAGATGTTGCTTTCTTTGTCGTTTATCCTGGCACGTTTAAATTTGACTGTTGCCTGTTTTCCCATACAAGTGACACCCCCGTCGACTTTCTCGAAAACGTTGCTAGCTGTTAGACTATAACTTAAACAGGATATAAATAGAATGAATATTTTTAGGCCAGATACAGAAATGGATAAGCCTGACACACTATCAAAAAAGAAAAAGACTTTCAATTCTTTCAATTTTAGTAAATGGTAAAATATTATGTTGTAGTATTATTTTAACTTATATTCTTTGTATAAATACCATATGATCGAAAAAAAAACGGCGTCCCATTGGAAATGACGATCGATGACATTCCCTACATAATTTTCCATATAAAATGAGAGCGATCTTCATTTCGTAGCCATCGCTGACGCCGTTTTTTTAGATCGTATGGTAGTATATTAGTTATATTAACGCTATAAGTAGTATTAACTTAACAATTTCTTTAAATTAAGTTTTTAAAAATGTATATTATAGTCTCACGATACAAAGAATACAAGGTATAATATTGCGCAGGTTGGTCACTACGTCACAGGTGGTAAACGGCACCATTGGTCGGCAAGATCTGCGCGCCAATTTCAAATTGTCAAACAGATGACATAATAAATGTGAAAATAATTTTTCAAGTGTCAAGCTCGATGATTTGACATAACTTTTGGGGTTATGTCCTAATTCTTCCCTATTTTAGGTCTTTTTTTATTAGTGACAATATGAATATTTTTTTGTATGGCGTATGAAGTCACAGGTGGTATGCGCAAACTTAACGAAATTGGAGCCGCTATCGATCATACCTTGTTTTCTTTGTACCATGTTATAGTCTGCTCCACGTTAAGAACTCTGACAGTGACAGCTGTGTTTGTCATTTTAATTAACAGGAATTTGCATATTCTGTTGTTTTTTGGATGTCGTCTGTCGAAATCTTCCCTGAGTTCATAGACAGGCTATACAGGGTTGTTCACACTATTTGACACAGAGAATTATAGCCAAAAATGATTATATTTTTAGAAATTGTGAGTGTTGGGATTGTTGGAGGACTAGGCTGGAGAGAAATCTGATTAAGGCTAACCGCACTTTAATCTTACCATTTTTGAAATATTTACGATTTTGAGAAAATCCACTAACAATTTTAATGCTGTATACAGGGTGTCCCAGGCTGGGCGTGCATTAGAAGTTTCTAGAGAACCACAATATCTAAATCGGAGATTTTTTGAACATCATTGTTTTACAACGAGATCTATCGATTAAAAATATTTTCAATATGGCGGCGCTTCCGGAAATACCGGAAGTTGACTACAACTCTCTTATTTTAAATGGCCGCCCCTATTTTTTATTACATATTTACATTCTCTGTAAAATTCTATGAATATTGATGTTAAACACTCTATATCTAACATTAACCGTTTTTGAGAAAAAAAATATTTAAAATTTTTGGACGAAAAAAACTACCTGTCAAAAAAATTTGTATAGCCTAAAAGTGAATTTTAGTGATTGCTACAGCTACTGTGGCACAAAGAGAAGACATGTAGCTATCTATTTCAAAAATTAAATTGTTCAAATGTCATATGATAATGGCGGTAGTTGTCATGGAATTGAGCGATTAAAAAGTTATCATAAATCATTTTTTTCAAATGGAAACTTACTTTTTTATTTCAGTAGTGAAAAGATTTTACAATTCGTTACTTTTTAACATGTTCCTATACCAAAAATAAATCGTTTTTAAGTTATTTAAGATTTAGTTTGAAAGCGTATATTTTTCTTGAATTTATCTAGCTTCCTTTGACATTAAGTGTCAAAAAGTCAGACAATTTATTTCCATCTGTCAGAAAACAAATTATTTGAATTTCCTATATTGTAAATACTGTTGCTTAAAAGTTTAAAAAGTGTTAATAGTTGATATTATTAATTATATTAATAATGTACTGTATCAACCCTGAAGAAAAAACAACGCGAAGTTGGCTTGCAAATGATGATCGATAACATACTGCTTTTTTAACAAAGTGTCACAATACGAATCAAGTCAAGTAAAATAATCACTTCACGTTTAAAGTCATAGGCTACTAGTTGTTAAAATCAAGAAAAATATACGCTTTAAAACTAAATTTTAAATAACTTAAAATCGATTTATTTTAGGTATAGGAACCTGTATAGTCCAAAAGTAACGAATTGAAAAGCCTTTTCACTAGTGAAATAAAAAAGTGGGTTTCCATTTGAAAAAAATGATTTATGATACTTTCTTAATCGCTCAATTCCATGACAGCTGCAGCCATTATTATATGACATTCAAACAATTTAATTTTTGAAATAGATAGCCACATGTCTTCTCTTTATGGCACAGTGGCTGTGGTAATCACTAAATTTGACGTTTAGACTATACACATATTTTTGACAGGCAGTTTTTATCGTCCAAAAATTTTAAATATTTTTTTTCTCAAAAACGGTTTATGTTAGGTATAGAGTGTTTGATATCAAAGTTCATAAAATTTTACAGAGAATTTAAGTATGTAATAAAAAATGGGGGCACCCATTTAAAATAAGAAAGTTGTCGTCAACTTCTGGTATTTCCGGAAGTGCCGCCATTATGAAAATATTTTTAATCGATAGATCTCGTTGTGAAACAATGATGTGCAAAAAATCTCCGGTCTAGATATTGTGGTTCTCTAGAAACTTCTAATGCACGCTCAGCCCGGGTCACCCTGTATATATGTAATACTATACGCGTATTTAAGTTTTTAAAACCAAATTCTGATACTAAAGTTTTTTTATTTACTAAATTTTCTGTTACAATAATACTACCTTATACAGAGTGTCTAAAAATTTATTTTAAATAATTACTAGCTTTAAACGGCAATAAGTTATTTAACTTAAATGGAACACCCTGCATATTTTAGGTGAATCAGATGCACAATTTAATTGCCTGTCAAACTGTATTATACAATTTTTTACCTATCTCTTCAAGTTTTCGTAGAAAATGCATTTTCTTATAATTTAGACATCATTTATCAATATACCCATGGAATATTGACATTTAACGTTTAATTTTAAAAAGTAACAAATTTATAAAATGTACAGATGCTAAAACGATAATATTGCTAGCCAGCTTGTGTTAGTTAATAAATTATTCTAAATAAACGTGGATTTGAATTAGTTATGAATGTGAAAGTCTCTGTTGTGAAAAAATAATTCGTCAAAGAATGAAATAAAATTTAGTAGGCCGTTATTTTTTACCACACTGTCTCATACAAATACAAAATTAAGTTTTTATTAGTATTTGGAGCAATTACTAATCAACGCAAATAGTCAATTATTATATTGTAGTTCGAATACTGGGATGATATGAATTGGTCCTCTTTTACAAATATTTAAATGTTTTTTTATTTTTTAGAGAAATCAGCGAACTAGATCGATAATATTAGTATTTGTACTCCTTTAGAACTTCGTCTGTCATGTTAAGAAATAAAAGTAAATAATAAAGCGCCTCTCGTGTTTGTTCGCATGCTAAAAATCTCAATTAATGCCTGTAATATATTTTTAATATATTTTTTAAATTTACTTTTTTTTAATTGTAAAGTAATTTATTACATTTAAATGAAATATATCACATAACAGTTAGGTCAATTACAGGATTACAAGCTTGTTTTCTAACATTTTTTAAATAAAACTAATAACAAAATTTCAATATATGTATATTTGTCGTACGTATGGAAAAAGTAAAATATAAAATGGACAAACGCTTACTTACATTGCAATAAAACTTCCACTTTTAGTTTTGCAATCCAAACGCAATATTTCTATTTCACAAATAAAAATATCCGACAACACTAAAATCACTGAAACTTCCGCCGCTGACAACGAAAACTGAAAAATATAACGGCACTTTTTGTTTTGGACCTGCATATCAACATTACGCGGTACCATTATGTTTTTGTTTTTGAAATAATATAAAATATTATAACTTATTATAACTAATTATAACTTGTAAATTTTAATATTTTAACATGATTTGAACTATTTCTGACAATAACTAACTTTTTGTTTTCAAGATGACATTCATAGATGACATTTTAGACGGCAACTGACATATATGTCATAATATTTAAATTTTAAAATATGTATGTAATATAATTTAAATTAATATAAGGCAACTTTGTACTAAGAAAACATTTATGCATTCACAAAATACAACAAAGTCTAATAATATAGTTTGAAAACAATGAATATTGAATTAAGATTAAAATAAAAATTAAAAAAGTTAAGCGCGACCCCTTGTGTCAAAATTAGATGATTAAATTTTCGCAATTTATACACCATTTTATGACCGGTGGCGCCTCTAGTGTTTGTTCGGGCGGTTGGTCTTTTACTCCCGCTTATGGCCATTAATGAAAAAGTTCTAACCTTTGGCAAATAATTTTATATTGAATCTTTAGTAATTCTCCAACGATCTTATCACTCACAATTGCTAAAAATATAATGATTTGGCTACAATACTCCGTGTCGACTAGCGTAAACAACCCTGTAGAAACTAAGAAGTACGTGTGTCAAATAAGAAATCTGTATTTCTTATTTATTTTGGCCTGAAGCCACTTTCAATTGAAATAAAGATGATGTAAATGTTGTAAATAGTATTAATAATCAGGATATTGTGCATATAATACCGTATGATCGAAAAAAACGGCGTCAGCCATGGCTATGAAGTGAACATCGCTGTCATTTTATATGTAAAATTATATGGGGAATGTCATCGATCGTCATTTCCAAGCCAACTGGACGCCGTTTTTTTTCGATCATACGGTATTAGTTTATTAGTATTGGTAATTTTGTTATTTCTCTTTATATTCAAAAGTAGTAATATATGTATCTATACTTTTTTAAGGGCTGTTTTTATTTAATATTACAACTCCCAAATAATATAAATACAATCTTTAAATGAGAATACAATACATAGTTTGATTTATTTTAAGATAAGAAGGTCTTTACTATGTAAGTTACTCAAAACTACCGCTCACAGACTACCGTTCAGTTTCTAAAAATGAATTTGTCAGTAAAATAATAAAATTTAATAAATAAAATGTTTAATGAAAAGCAAAAATTACATGTAAAAATAACTATGTTTGAAGTTCAAGGCCTCCTCTGTTCTCTGTTTATCACAGTTGTTTGCAAACACTTTGCAAATAATCGCTTGTAAATGCACCACATAGCAACGTTGTCAGATAAATTTTGCTAGTTTCAAATGAACACTAATTGAACAAGACATACCCAGAAGATGGGCACAATAGATCTTTAAGGTCGCAGTGATTACCCCCCCCCCCCCTCTTAATCATTTTCCTCAGTTCCCCAGAAGATATCCCTAGTTTATACTGGTACAAATTATTAAGTCAGGGTATTATTTATTATTTATGAACCTAAATGTATGAATTGTAATAAATGCTAAATTACATATCACACCTCTCATTATACAAAATAGCATCTGAGAATATGAGGTTAAATAATACCACAAAAGTTTCTTTGGATGATATTTCCCATATAAATTTACATATAAAATGACGCCGTTTTTTTATCATACGGTATTTATACTAAACAATCTTTTTTTTTCACCCTCTATTTCCTCTATTTGGAAAACTTTTCCTACAACCGGCAACCTTGACATTAGAACCTTGACGCGTTCTGGCAACAAAACAAAACAAAGATCATGTGATATAGCCAACCAATCCGGTAGAGAACTCCGTTTCTGTACATTTTAGAAACCAACAATCAGCTGGACGATTGTACCGACATCTTGCACGTCTCGTTGACAATTTACAAATTGACAAACGACGTGATTCATCAGAGATAAGGGATTTTTTAATCAGTATTTTTGGGCTAAAAGTAGCATTTTTAAAAGTTTCTGTGTTTTATGGTATTAAAACTACATCAAAATGATCGACTGCAGAAAATTGATGAGAGATTATTCCAGATATATATTAATAGTTTTTAATTTTTTCTTTGTGGTAAGTTCTTTGTTCTGTTGTAATATCAATTTCATGTAATTACGTACTATTCGGTTTTCCCAGCTGATAGGGGGAGGCCTAGCCAGGGAGGGCCTATTAGGTTTTACCAGCTGATAGGGATTGTTTTGAGAATTTTTTTTACAAATTTTTAGAAGTTTAATGTAAAATAGAGTATACCTATAACTTGAATTGTGCAATGTTACATGTTTGATGCACTATAGGGCTTAAGTGGTAATTTATTTGTATTATTTTTAGCTTACTGGTGTAGTAATTATATCAGTGGGAGTTAGTGCGAAGGCCTACTACAACGAATTCGATGATTTACTTAACGATAAATATTTTTATGTCTCCGATTTACTCATTGTTATTGGGGCTATTATTTTCATTATTGCATTCTTTGGATGCTGTGGAGCCCTAAAAGAAAATGCTTGCTTAACTACAACTGTAAGTATGGATTATAAAATTATAAATTTTTGTAAGTTTTGTATTTATAACTGATTACTTTATTATAGTTTTCCACATTATTGGTTATTATTTTTATACTCGAAGCCTTAGTTGGTATTAGCGGTATTGTGTTAAGACACAAAACGGAAGAGTTTTTGGAGCATAGTATGAATCAAAGCTTAAGTTTGTATGGCAATGATACTGAAATTACTGAAACTTGGGACTTGGTTCAAACTCAGGTAAGTACTTATTATGACAGATTAGAGTTTATGAATCATTATGATAGCAGACAGAAGTGAATTTTGAATAATAAAAACCAATTTAGCAGTTTGGTAATTATTGGGAAAATTGGAAATCGTCCGATTTTCACCAAAATTGGTTAAGATAAAACCAACTTACTAAAAGCCAATTGCTCACTTCAACCGATTTATATATACCAGAACCGGAGTGAGATATAATGACGGTCTCTTTCACCCATGATGCTCCTGGCTTTTAGTAAGTTGGTTTTATCTTTATACATCCTATTTTGAGGTCGTAGATTACGAATCTAAACTTTTTTCCTGGCGGTCTCTTACCGTTTTACAGAAAAACGGAAAATAATTTCAACAGTGAGTTTTTCTATATTTCAGCCCTATAAAGTAATAATTTGACTATATTTTCATTATATGAAAGTTTATCTAAAAGCCACACTTGATTGAGGATAGAAAAATGTACAAAATTTTACTTAAAACACGTTTCTTAACAAAATAACAAAGAAAATTGAGACCAGATGGAAGTTTGACATTTCATATGTCCTTCTTTCTCTCTCCTATGTAATGAGAGAGACAAATATATTCTAGATCTAATCTAGAAATTTGAAAATTTGCAACGTTGCAATATCTTGTATTTTTTCGGATGATTAGGGATTTTAAAAAATTGCCTATTAGATCTGACAATATATTCTAGATCTAATCTAGAAATTTGAAAATTTGCAACGTTGCAATATCTTGTATTTTTTCGGATGATTAGGGATTTTAAAAAATTGCCTATTAGATCTGACAATAATTAAATATACCTATATCCACAAAGTTGCACGAAATAGTTTTGATTGCATTGGTTTTAACTTCTATGCGGAGGGGGTTAATCTTTTTTTGATATAATATAACAAAAAAAAGATTAACCCCCTCTGCATGAAGTTGAAACCAATGCAATCAAAACTTTCGCGCACTTCATGGTTATAAATAGTTAGATCTCGTTGGTAAAATAGCAGTTACGGGAAGGGGCCGTTCCTCTGGCGACCGTCTTTCGTAATCCCAGAATGAGCGAAAAAAACGTTAAATTTAGGTTTAGCATTGGCAACGTTGCTTTAAATGCCAGAAACACATAACCCAACATTTTCAGATTGTTTACAAATTTATTTTAGTAAATTTTCCTCTATTATGCATAGAATTAGCTAAAAAAGTAACAGAAAATAGCAAAAACCTCGTTGTTTATTGAATTAAAATGACATACACAGCTGTCACTGTCACGGATCTTCTCATTAAACAGTAGCTTTCGCAGCATAAAATCTCAGACCAATGGTCTAACGTATAAATAAATATAAAAATCAATACATAAAGATATAAATACTGTATGATTCAAATAAAATGCTGCCACGTATGAAATACAGACTTGATATATCTTGATTTGAGGCTGTTTTTATGATACTTTCAATTATTTTTTTTTTCACACTCAGTTGTAAAAATAAGACGTTTCTTTTACAGATGAAGTGCTGTGGTATTACAAATTACACTGATTGGTTTACTAACAAATATTCAGTTAATCATACTTTACCTGTAAGTTGTTGCCCAATTCCTCATGGTGCAATGAACATATTTAATTGCTCTATAGCGACAGCTTATCCTGAAGGTTGTCTGGAAACTTTTGGAGATTATATCAGAGCAAATACTTCCTCTGTTGAAATTGCTGGAATCTCTTTGGCTCTGGTTCAGGTAAGTGATTTAGACAGGGTGTAGGATAACATTTTTATAAGCAGATGGATCATTTTATTTGATCCACTGGCAGGATATGTATAGATCGTACCAAATAAACTTTTAGTAACGTGATTACGTTTGACCGGCACAGCGTTGCTGACTTTTACATATTTTCTTTTGTTTAAAATACTTTAGGAAACAAAAATGAATTAATCATAAATACAGGGTTGCGCACTTCATTCGCCACAGGGTTGGCAAATATCATGATATTTATATAAATATCAAATATCGGATATATGTATATAAATAATCAAATAGGAAAAAATATATATAAATAAAAAATAGGAAAATATATAAATATCAAATATCGGATATATATCTGATATATATCCGATATATATCAAGTTTTGGTATTTATTTTTGTTTTTATTTTTTTATGTAAAATTGCTTTTAGTATCAAGTAAAATCAAGAGCTCAAGCAAATATTTTTATTTCAACTTAATTATTGTTGCTTTGCCCATAATTACAACATTAAAACAAAAATATGTAAAAAATATACAGAACTTCTAAAAAAAATAAACAGAACTTCTAAAAAATAAACAGGAATTCTAAAAAATAAACAGAAATTCTAAAAAATAGACAGAAATTCTAAAAAATAAACGGAAATTCTAAAAAGTAAACGGAAATTCAAAAAAATAAACAGATATTCTAAAACTAACAACAAACAAATTTATATTTGATTTATTAATTTTATTAATGTTAAATCATCGTCAGATTCGTCAGAGTCAATTGATACTGTTTCTGGCACAGTTTTTGGTACATTTGAATTGTCCCAGATCCAATCAATATTATCTTTTTTGTTTTTTCTTTCTGATTTTTGAGTTTTATTTTTTTATAAATATCATGATATATATCAAGGTATAAATATCATGATATATATCAATGATATATATCCGATATATATCATTGATATACTATATCATGCCAACCCTGATTCGCCATGGTTGATTATACGAAAACGGAAAGATGTAGAAACAAAATATTTTATGGATATATGTGGGGAGACAATGTGCACAATTTAAAATTATTTTGAAATATATAGGGTGTTTCGGAACAATGATCCATACCAAACTTATATTTTTTCTTATGAAACACCCGGTATTTTATTTTATTTTTGAATTCTTGGGCCCAAAACAATGTATGTATTATGAGGGTTAAATATGTTTAAAATCTTTGGTTTTTGAGATATTTAGAGATATTTAAATATGCATGTTACAATAGAATAGAGTGTAGAACACCCTGTAGATTACTTTACAGAATTAATTCTTGTGCTGAGTTTAAAGGTAGAGAAATCAATTTTATTAAAAAATTGTATTGCTTTCTTAAATTTATACTGGAGTATCAAAAATTACTGATCTATGTTAGATATTTATTTTAACATAAAATTGTGTTATTTCAAATGCAACACCCTGTATTTTTTAAATTAAATCGAAGCAGATTTAAATGCTCTTTCAAACTATATTAGGATTTCCTATACCACCTATCTAGCTCAGATTTTGAATAAAAAGCGATTTTTCAATAAAATGACAATCAAGATGGCTGGCGTTGCGATGGCAATTTTCTGACACTTAGTAACTATTTTAAAATCGACATTATATACTAATCGACGTAATAGAGGGTGGGATTATTATTATTTATAGAGGTACAGGCTCTCGTCTACCAATCTCAAGGTAGTAGGTTCCAATCCTACACCCGACATTTCATCAGCCGACTATTTTTATTAAAATAAAAATAGTTTGGGTACCTAGGTCGACGCAGCCTTAAATGAGTACTTGGGATTCACAATCCTGAGGTAATAATAGGCGGTTAAAGCGTAGTGCTAGCCACATTACCTTCCTTGTATACCGAACAGCTCTAGCATGGCAAGCTGTACCTTGCTACTTCCAAGGCGTTAAACGCTATATACGGGAGTTATTATTATTATTATGCTTCCTAAATGTCATTTCAATATTTTATCTCTCTGTAACTGTTATACATTTTTATATCAATATATATTTATTATTTTCAGCTTGTGGGAATAATTCTGTCCTGCTATTTGGCGAAACAAATAAGGAGCGACTATGAAACAGTCTGAAGAGGTCAGGGGACACTTTAACTTCTATATTGACATAACCAAAGTTATAGAGTTATAGCAATAAAAATCTTAATAATCCTTAGTTTATTATGTCTTATTATATCAATCAATTCTAAAAAAGGAATTATAGTTATTTTGATTTAACCATATTTGTATTTCCAGTATAATGTTTATGTTAAAATTATATAGGTGGTTGTAGAATATATCTTCTGCAAAATTTGCTGTGTATATTAGTCTTAAGTCCAGAATTCGTTTTTACTTTGTTATTTTTATGAATATACGTTGTAGAAATTATAATAGGCCATACTTATTTACTAAACGAAAAAGCAAGCTCTGTTGAACTGTACATTTTTACATATTTGGAATCAGATTTAACTGCTTTATGCAATAATTGTGCTGTGAAATCGACGGTTTTGTTCAAGACAATATTTTTGTGCTAATTAGGGTTCCGTACCCAAAGAGTAAAAACGGGAACCCTATTACTAAGACTTCGCTGTCCGTCCGTCCGTCCGTCCGTCTGTCACAAAGGTCTATCTTATGAACCGTTATAGCTAGACAGTTGAAATTTTTACAGATAATGTATCTATAAGAACAAATACCAAAAACAGAATTAAATAAATATTTATAAATAAAAAAGTACTTTCACTAAACATTATCTTTTTAAGTTAGAATTTTATATAGAATCTTTCAAGTCTTCGGTGGCCGCGTAGTAAAGCGTTAGGACTTTACGCTGCTATGTAGTGGGGTGAGATGGCTGAAAAAAGTTTCACATCTGGCAACCAATGCGCCCTTTTGGTTTCAGATAGCACATAGGTAGACGAGTCTAAAAAGCCTGGGACACAAATTTTTCTGGCCATTTAGCGGTCTTGATGACGTAATCAAAATGGTCGCCAAAATCTTTCTAGATTTCCCGTTATAACTCAATTTTTCTTTCCGATATCAACATATGTTTATAGTGATTATGAATTAGGAGAAATCATGCTTCCTAACGGTGTATTTGGTTTTATAGTTTAGGTTCACAAAACCAAAAATATTTGAAATTTTATTTTTTTTTCATCGCATTTTGCTAAATAACTTGAAATCAGTTACATTTACGATGTACATCTTGTAAATGTGTTAAAAGGGGAATACGCTGTACAAAACTTTGTGTATGTGAAGGATAGTGCTCGGATAGTGATCGGTAATCATAAGTGAACGGGTAAAATGCAAATCATCTACTCTGGATATGACTTCTGTAACTATATATAACTATATGTTTGAAAGCTACTTTACAGTTATACCTTGAGTGTGCTTCATGTGCGCGATTTTAAAACGGAAATCAAAGTTTCGTCTTCCGAAAAAAGCTATAATTTATTTACTTATTAATTTAAAATTAGTTATTACTTTTTTTAGCAGGTACAAAGCTGTATTACATTTCGAAATCTATAAATTACATTGCTGCCCTAACGACTAGCTGTGCAACGCTACATTGTTTTGGCAGATTTTTAGCAACTGTTTATGACAAAATAGAAGATATATATACCGTTATAAAGGTAATTTTTTGGCGAAGTAAAAAAATATAGAACACATTTTTAGCTACATATAGTGAATTTCAAGTTATTTAGAAAAATCTGACGAAAAAATGAAATTAAAAAACATTTTTTTTAAGTAGCAAATATTTTTGTTATTATAAACGTAAATAATTTTGTGAAATATACCGTTAAAAAGCGCGTTTCCTCCTCTTTTATAATCACTAACAATATTTGTTAATATCAAAAAGTAAAACTGACTTATAGCGGGAAATATAGAAGCGTGTCTAAAAATTTTGGCGGCCATTTTGATTACGTCATCAAGACCGCTAGAGGGCCAGAAAAATTTGTGTCCCGAGCTTCTTAGACTTGTCTATCTATGTGCTATCTAAATCCAAAAGGGTGCGTTGGATGCCAGATGTGAAATATTTTGGCATAAAAAATTTTAAGCTAACATACCCCACTAATGACGTTGGAGCCGTAGTAAGGCAGGTTTGAATCCTAGTCAAGGCGACTTTTTTTAATCGTTTTTTTTTTATTTTTCCATATTTTTACATATTTATTTTTACTTTTTACATATTTATTATTGATTAATACAATGTTTAGTAATGTATTTCTTCATTTTTTTTTAAATTACTTATACGCTCATTGAAAATTTCAGCTAAATCGGAAGAAAAGTTTATAATAATATAGTGTATGTTGTATAGATAATGAATGGTGCGCGAGTCCGACTCGCACTTGACCAATTTTTTTATTATTCATCTCATTGAATTTATTTTTTCAGTAATTATTAAAATTATATTGATGCAAATACAATTACAAAAATACTGTAGTAAGTATAAAGAAAGTAATAAACAGGTAGTATTTTTACTGTAGCATACAATTTTAAACTAGAATGCTATAACATGGAAAACAAATTTATTGCAGTATAGGTATAACAGGGTGTCCCAGAAATAAATGCAAGTATTTTAACTGGTAGTATAGTTCAACCCCAGAAATATGCCTATGAGGGTTTTTTCGCGAAAAAAAAAATTTTGAAAATTCGAAATTTTTTGAAAAATTTTATTGGATTTTTTTTAGTTTTTAGTTAAAAAACATAATTTCTTGATAATATAGCAACATAGGTATTACTGACTGTCAAGGTGTTTCTACCTGTCACTCAATACTCTCGCAGTTAGCTTTTTCAAGAACCGATACGTTTGAGATATGATGGAACCATTTGATTCTTTCAAGAGATGTCTAAGGTGTCTCTGTTGCAACTTGTTTAATGCGTTCATGTGTCGGCGGTACGGCACCCAGGTTTCGCTCCCATATAACGTGGTTATTATTATTGCTCGGTACACTGCAAGTTTCGTTTTTGTGCTCAGGTCATGGTTGTAGAAAACCCTGTCTTTTAATTTCCAGAATGCTCTTGAGGCGCTGCTAATCCTGTGCGGAATTTCAGAGTCGATATTGGCCTTTTCCGAAATCAAAGTGTAATTGAATTCCGCTACATATTCCAGTAGTTCTTCTCCGATTTTTATTGCATTGTTGTGATGTTCCGGGGAGTGCACATGATTTTAGTTTTGTTGATGTTCAGCTTAAGGCCCAAAGCCTCGTGGGGTATATATGGGGTATATTATAGCAAACAGGGGTATAGCAGAAACCAGTTTTGGTGATTCCGCTTCTCATGTGTTGCCAACTGGGAAGTTAGCAACCAAAATAAAAGTATCTATAGCTCCCCAAGTAGCATTTTCACGACTTGCGACCACATGTTTACTAAACACAACGTTGGATTAGTTACAAAAAATCGTTAGCTCCCTACCTTGGGTATTAAAATAAATTTAAACGTTTTTATAACGTTGTGCCGACGTTGGACTAGTACTACAGCAAAGTAGAAGCTTCTGCGACGTCGAATAAACGTTGTCTTGTAACCTTTTTGCTTAAGTGATCTTTAGGTGATTTGGACCACGTAGTTACAACGTTGGACAATATAGAGTTTTCCGACGTCAGTTTCAGGACCTATTCCAACGTTATGCAAACGTCGTCTGTTTTACTAATTCCAACGTTGTTTAGATTTCCTTATAATTACGTTGGTAGGACGTCGAGTCACTACCTTTTTCGCAAGTGTATTGAACCATAACCTTAAATCTTAAATTCTCACTTCATTATTCTGTTCAGTCAGACAGTTCAGTGCTGTTTTTGTTTTTATAAAAAAAAACTTAATTAAAATGAGACATAAAAAGGTACATATAAAACTAAATTTAAATATACATCGACATATATTACCGATAGTTTATCCACTCCCTCGTTTATTTAGATTATAGAGGGCGGTACAAGCTAGACTCTTGGATGACTAAATTAGGCAATCTTGCGACTAGTATACTACCTGTTAAGGCCGAACTGCGACTTTATTAGTCCAGTATGTGACTACTCGAACTACTCCATCTTAATCTCCAAAACAACAAAGTGAAAGCCGCCATGTTGTTAAATAAGAAAATGTTTCGTTCCTAAAATGCAATTCCTGCTTTTTGAATACATTAACTTGAAATATTTGACCCTAAAAAACACGCGGAAACAATTTTTTCGACTGCGAATAAATTATTCTCATTTTACTAAAAAAAATTCAAGAAAATATTTGAAACTTCTTTAATTTTAAGGCCCATTAGTATTTTTCAAAGTAGAAACAATACATTTATCAATAAAGTTGTTTGCGTTTAACTTTTTTGCCTTGGGTAACGAGTTACAGAGTCGGTTAAAGTGTTTCAATAATTATTATCTTCAAACATCCTCCACACTTAAATACCTTTGTTTTGTTTTCCTTGACTGCCATCTGACTTATGTCTCTAACTAAATCATAAAATAATATTTTTACTATAATTATCCCAATTTAGGATAAAACGCGACTTAGACGCCATATTAGTTTTGTATTTCTGTGAATTAGGATTTTAAACAACGTTGCAGTTTGTACTAAATTAGGCTTCGAGCCAACGTCGGTATCCAACGTCGTTTCGACCCAAAAATTATTCTCCAAACTAGTGCAGACTAGGGTTGGCACGAGGTTGTGCCGACGTTGCACCCCGACGTTTAGTCGCGTGACAGAACGTTGTCCCGACGTCCAAATGTTGCTTGGGTAAAAATTGGTAGGTGTGGCTGGGTTGGATTTGAAGCAGGATAAGGCAGGATTGTAGCAGCCCAAGCAGGATCGTATTTTATAATTCGTACTTTCAATGAGTTGCTAGGTAACTTCCCCGATCTGGAAAATCGTTATACAGCGTGGAATCCGGCCCTGGCGGATGCGCTCGATAATAACCGGAGCAGCGCCCTACGTTACCCGCCACCCTCCAGACGGAATCTGACAGTCGATTTTTCTTAGTGGACCAAATAATGTAATGATTTACCTGCAATCGGACCAATAATTTTATTTTCATAGTATTTGAAACGTATTTTTCTATTTGTACATACGCCGAACGGTGCATTTATTCTTATTCTGTGTTGTGCCAATGGATTACCATTCGTTTTGATCACGATCATTGTTCTCCTTTATTGTTTGACGTTTCGCCATATTAGCAAACCACTTGTTAACATTCGGTGTTTTAATTATTTATGACTGCATCTTGCTTGAAGCACGCAACCGTAGTGTCTTGGAGCTTTTTTATTTACAAACCCTTTCTGTGTCGTTACTCTTTTCTTCGCCTTGTTCGTTTTTTGTCGTCTTTATAATGATCGGGTAAGTCGATAATTTAGTAGACCGTCTTTATTTATAAATAATTGTAATTTTCATGTTTTTATTAACTTTGTTTTTCTTAA